AGACATACACACTTCACTCTTGCAATGTAATTTTATAAAGGCAGCTTGAACTAAATCTGAACCTGAAAATTAATTCAGATTTTGCTATCAAAAACACCAGGGTAGACAGCTTTGCCTATTTAGGAGCTGATGCTGAGTTTTCCAATACAATATTTTTCAGGCAAACCCTTGGATTTTTCAAGTCCTTACCAACCTTGGAAATTTTAAAGATTCACTGTCACCAGGCAGTCCCTGCCTAGCAAGCTTTGAATCATCTTTTTATATTTTCTAAACTTCCAGTAAATTAGCATTCTTTCTTCTTTAACATGCAAATTTGTATCCCTGATGCTCTTATCATCTTGTAATACATGAAGACTTCTCTTTAAAAAATACCCTAAACCACCTTGTAACATCTGTGTTATCGCACTAATTTCCTGGGCAATGATCAGATCCTTGAGGCTGAGTGAAACACTTGGCATTTAGCCTTTTTCTTCTTCCCTCTGAGAAACTAGGTTATTACAGCTTCATAAAGCAATGCCTGGATGGTATTACTAGCTAATTAATGTCTATTTAGTGGAAAGGGCTGCAGCCATCTTCCAGCACCTACAGGCATTACTTTCTTCCTCTCCCTAACAAGACCAGATGGTGTCCTGGCCAACCTTCGCCCACCCTTCACAAGCCATGCACTTGATCCAGAAACTGCAGCCAGCAGCTTGGGAAATACATTACCATCACAGCTGGACAGATGCTAGAAAAGAGCTGGTTGCTGCCCTGAATGGTGGGAAAATTAATGACTTCAATTAAAAGACATAGATTAAACTTCTACCAAGATATAGTCACCTTTACATCTCTGTATGCTGCTGGAGTTTTTATTTTATTGAATTTTCCAGCTCTCATCATATAACAGGGTGACAAACAACCAAGAAGACAAATATATGGCCAACAACAAACACACAGCAGGCTGTAATGTCTTCTGCTTCTCACTGCACCATTTAATGATAGAATGAAACCTCTCATGTACAAAGGAAGGGTCCAATTTCCAGCATCAGTGCAGTCAGACTAGAATATTTATCTTTTTTTCAAGATCAAGCACCTCTAGTCCCAGTAAATTGTCGTCCCAATGTGTTTTTTTAAATACGGTGTTCACACTAATTGATGTCCCTATTAAATTACAATCTGCCCCAGCTCATGGTTACTGCATCAAGACACTGTTTCATGTCCTGTACAATCCACCACAGATCAAAGAGCTATCAAATAAGGAACACAACATGAAACACTATTAACCAACACCTACCTGAAAATAACATGAATTCAGTTAATTGAAGAAAAAGCATAATTTTTATCTCAGAAAGACCCCTGCCTCAAAATCATTATATTCACACTATGCTTTTACCAAACAAGCTTGCGATCAAAAGAAACACCTAACATTAGAATTAGTTTTAGAACATGTATTCTGTTCTCTGCTTTCATTTATTGAAATAATATAAGGGCTCATTCAACTTTGAATTTTTAGCTACATTCCTCACTTGTCAGAAATAATTACTTTATCTTAAAGAAGTTTTATATGTATGTATATACATATGCATATACACACAACTATACGTGTGTATATAGTGATGACAGATACACTCTAAGCATCCTGAAGATACATTATGACCAGCTGTGGTCATATCCTGTATAGGAGAAAAAATGACCACCGAGAAAGCACTCCCAGTGAGTCAACAATGATCCCTTTTCTCTCACACCAAGTGCCTTGCCATTTGCCCTAAGCTATAGGATAACGTATTTTGGCTGTACAATATCTCTGACTCAATAAAAACATTGGATGCTGATGACTCTTAGAAGATCCATGAGAGCTCTGTGTACAGGAGGAATTGACTGCTCTGTTCTCTGCCATATTCCTGTTTAGGAATTTTGCTGAAATCCTTTTCTCAAGTTTTAATTGAAAAATAATTTCTGAAGGGACAAATCTCTGCAAAGAACCCATGAGGAACTTCAGCTGCCAAAATATAATAATGCTTTCTAGAGTACTAATTTTTTTCTTTAAAGTGCCATGTTAGATTTTTTTTTAGATTGCTAAGTCAAACATCCAGAAGCTTGGAAATTTGGAATCATACTTCAACCCTGTTTCACTCAAATGTTATGAAAATTGTAGGCACATTGCCACTTCCCATTTTTTTTCTGCTGCAGTCTTGCCTCAGAGTTTAAGTCAAAACCTTCTTGATATCCTCCCATATACACACTGCACAGCCTCAAGATTTATTTCTTCCACACTGCCAAAACTGTGCACAGAATGCAAAATGATTCATGTCCTGCTAAGCACCTCTGACAGAGTCTCCCCATAGTATCCAGGTTTCTCAAGACCATGAAATTTGCCCTCACTGTGCTCCTTTAAGGTGAGGTTGCAATATTATCTGTATTCTGCAGCTGGGAAAGCAGGCACTAACTTTCCATTCATTTTAGTCATACAACCTGAGGGAACAGAAATCCTATTTCTCAGTTTCCAGCCCTCCACACTCTTTCAAAATCTCCCTGTAGTGGCCCCCAGTAACCAAACCTACTTCACAGTGGACATGCACAGAATGAGAAGCCCATGGTTAACTGGACACTTGTGAAAAGTTTGTTGTAAATCCTCACTATTCAAAAATTCTGTCACACATGCTGAAAAGAGAAGCCAGTCCCACAGAGCATCATTCAACTGTCTTAAATTTAATAACATATTGCTGCCTCCACTGCAGTTGCCTGACTCATTTACCATACACCTTACACCTTGGTGGCAAGTGAGGCAGTTTTTAAATATATTTCAGAGCTTGCCCACCTGTGTAATAACATGATTAAATTCAGAATTCTCTATTCTGGAGAGAAACAGCCATAGACCCTTCCCCCATGCCCCTAGCCTGTCTCACTCATCTCTTACCTATCTGTACCCCATGCCCTCCTCCTTGTCAATATTTCCATTCCGACTCCCCAGACACTTGGTTATTCTCTGTGCTCTGAATAGCTCCCATCCTTTAATCCTGTTCCCCAAGTCCCTGCACATGCTCTCTTTGTGCTTCTACTCCTTGCAACCTTTTTTCCTTGTTTCTTCACACACCTTGTCCTGACCATCTCCATCTGACCATGACTGATGCATCCAATTTCTCCCTGCTGCTGGAGATCAGATAACGAGCAGCACAGTCCCACTTCCCTCAGGTCTGCAACCTGAATTAAGCCCTAAGGAGCATGACTCCTATGTGAGCATGTACAGACAGAAACTTTGGAAAGCAAAGCTCTTGAATCTGAGGTGTCTCCAAAGTGCACGAACAGCCTCATCAGCAGGGCAGATTCAGGGGTAATTTTCAAGACAGCAAAAGGCATCTCCCTGGTATTATGATGACATTTTACTAAATGTCAAGCTTCCAAATTTTCATTCCAATGAGGTTCATTCCACTACCAGCACTAACACAACTCAGGAAAGGACCACTGGATTTATTTATTTGAAGGAAGGTCATTTAAAGAAGCACATTTCCCACAAATCTTTTCTTCATAAAGAACTGGCTTTTTTGTTAAAGTGTTTACTAAAAGAAAAAGAATGAGTCATAGACTGAATCTTAGCATGAAATATTCAGCCAAAACAATTAAAGTTTAGAGAAATTGTAAACAATTCCTCATAGTAGGCAGTGACAGGGGACACTTTACTCTGAGCAATGCTACTAGCTTACTTTGTACTTAATAAATCCACCAAATGTAATTGTTACAGCTAAGCAAACATTTCCAGTCATGCTGATGTAAACAAAATCACTCTTCTTATCAATAAGAAATTAGTCCACCTCTTCTCACCATCTCTCCACACTGCCTTGAACTGTCTAAGCATCATTTTTCTCACGGCTTTGCCAGCTTCAGATTTTAGGCACTGCCATTCCAGTGTATGGAAAAAATGAACCTGAATTCACCATTCTTCACTTTTCAAAGAATATCAAGAACTGGTCCAGAATCCCTCAGGGAGAAAACCAGGTGATTTTCTCCTGGCAGTGCTACCTTGATCACCCGTTCTTGCCATGACATCTCCTCATGACAGCAATTTCCAGTTAGCTGGAAAGTTTCCAGTTGGTATCCTCATGGCTAGACAGCCTGCCATCCCCACTGCACTGCTGTAGGCTCTGCCTGCCCTGTACCTTGCAGCCCTCTCCCACACACATCCTGACAGAAAAAAAATCTGAAAAAAGGCCACATTGTCACTAATCCTAATTTTTCTATCCCAAGTCTTAAAACCTGCCTATGGGGCTGCTGATATAGTAGAATTACAAACACAATTATACATTATTTACTTGAGGGATAGGAGGAATACAACCCCAAGTCACAAATAACTTCAAATCCAGCAACAGAGTTTCTGGCAGACATTTCTCCTCTAATCTTTGGTAGTGATCCACTGATGGTTTTGAAAATCCAAAGTGAAATAACCAAAAAGTTGAGAACAATTTCTAACATAGGTAAGCAAAATAAAAAGTCTTTTTAAATCAATCTGAACATAGTAGATAGTACTAAGGAAAAAAATTTCTTTTATGGGGAAATTATCAAAAAGAAAACGTCTGTACAGCCATCCCACATGGTTCAAGATTATATGAAAACCTTTGCCTACATCTTTGACAGCAAGCAGCAGTTCTGGAGGTTTCTGTTTTATCACATTTGCATCAGAACTACCTTGAGAGTGAATGCTTTGACCTTTCACCAAACCAGTTGCCAAGAAGATTTTCTAAGCTGGAACTTCGGACATCAAAAATAAGCTATTTTCTTTCAGAAACTTGGATTTAGGTTTATTAAAAGGGGAAGGTGCCACAGAGAATGAAACAAAGGCAAGAACATAAAATAATGGACAAAGAGGAAGAACAGAATGGCAAAGCAAAAGAGAAATAGCAAAAAGTATTTGCAATTTCAGCATCTGGGCACAATTAATTAAGCTTAAAGGAGACATTAAGAGTTGTCTGTGGCGACAGGGACATCAAGCAGACATCATCAAGCAGAGAAATGCAGAGGGCTCTTACTGCAGCATATGTGTCTGGCTGGCGTCCTTTTGTTTGTCAGGTACCTCGTAGTGGGGAGAAATCTTTCCAAGGCCGCTGTCGCTCAGCATCCTCTTCCGAACCGTGGGGTTCCACCGCTCCGATATTCTAAGGAGGGAAGGAGGAAGAGAAAGGCATTCACACCCCACTTCAAAGCTGTCTTCCCTTGCTCATTGGTCCCCAGCATTTTTCAGCCCATAGCAAGTTAAAATAGATTAATTCACTATGAGTGCTGTTCCTAAAGACAAATAGAAGCATTTCTGGTCTGTCAACAGGATGATAAGAAACAGAGACACTTCATGATCATTCTTAGACACAAAGACTCCAGGGCTTTACACAGTGGGATCAGAATTCTGACCATGCAGAGAAGTTTTTCTTTGTTAGGAGATTTATGTCAGGATTTAGGATCAGGTGGTGTGAGGTGATTAAAAGGTGCTGAAGTCCACTAGTTCTGCTATGTGTTCCAGGAAGCCTAATAAGAGTAGATGCTACACTGCTAGTCTCCTGTCACTACCACAGCTGGACTTGTTCCTACAGAACACCTGCCCTCCCACATCTCCTAATCCTCCAGAAAAGGGGGCCAGAAAGAGATGTCCATCTCTAATGCACCTGCTGAAAAGCAGATTCCAGCAGCACTCACCCAGTCGCCTGCTCCACTACCAGGTCAGGCATTCCTGGTGGCGTCCCCACCTGCTGAGACATTACCATCTCTGGGTCCAGGATAAAAATCTCGTCCTGCGAAATTTCCGTCACAAAGTGCAAATGTTCCTGTCAGAGTGACACAAGCAACAAATAATGAACCTGCAGCATCATTGATCCCTCAGAGTACACAGTGCCCTAGAATAAGTTGAGTGCATGTCAGGTTCCCTGGAGAATATTCAAGGGACTCTGTATGTAAGTGTGTACTCACACACACATACATTAACATCAATGCCACAGAAGTCACCAATTTATATGTCATTCATTTCAAGCCAAACAAGATTCCCCATGAACAAGTTGCACACTCACAGCAATATTTTAAAGGCTGTTCCTTGATGACTGTGCCATTCTGATGAAACCTGGAGGTCTACCCATTAAGCTGAGATCTACATTTTGAAATGAGAACCAACAGTTGAAGTCTCTTCTTTGATGATGGTTGACAGAACTTTTCTCTGTTTGGGGATACTCTTCCAGATCTCCACCAGCTGTACATTCTGTTTTCACATCTCCATTACCAAAGCTCTCTTTCTCAATCCTTTATTTTTGGTATTGACACTAAAGGCTTATTGTCTTTCAAAAAAAACCCACCAAGTGTGAGTATGCCTATGTAGGGAAATGGGCAGGAAATTTGCCACTGTTTGCATGCTGGAACCTGTTGTCATCTTATTGCAGGGATTCTGTACTGTTGTCTCCTTATAACAAAAGTTTCATACCTTCTTGATGTTTCTCGTGGTCAGCTCCTCAGAGCACTGACTTTCTTCTTTGTAAAGTAACCAACTGACTCCAGTTCCCTTCTCATCCAGCCACCCCACTCTTATAGCACTCTTCTTCTCATCGGTTACAGCTGTGGCCTGTTAAAGTCAGGCCTGCTCCTAATCTTTGATAATTGGCCCAGCTACAACTCCTTAGGGGTAAGATTACTTCTACACTATCTTTATTTTCTTATATTCTATCCCCCTACAGGGACCAATGCACAGTATTTAATTTTTTCCTCACAGAATCACAGGATGAAAGAGTAGGCATTAAAAATGACCATTAGTACAGTATCAAGGATTGGAGAAATGCAGAATAAGGCAAACAGAGTCAAATTTCCCAGTTTAGTCTGTAGCAGCATCTTTTTCACTCCTGCCTTCCCAATGTTAGAATACAACATCAAACCATTTATTTGACTGTGTGCAAAGAAGTCCCATGGTGTCTACATGCAGACAGGGTACAGGGGAACTCTGAACTAAAGTCACAGCTCCTTCTGCTTGAGCTAAAGCACCAGCTGCTTTTGCTAAGAAACAGTAACATGTTCATGTGATTCAGAAACAGCTTACACAGCTCTCAGAGGGACCAGATACAAACAACTACAGTGTGAAATCAACAATTTGCACTTAATTCTGAGCAACTAATTGGCCCATTCTGGCTACAAATCAGAAGCACCAAAAGCCCTGTAAAATTTTCAGTGTCTTTTTAAAAATATATTCAGATTGTCAGATCTATGCCACAGGTTTGAACCCAGCAGAGATACACATTGTTTTGGGGTTCCTTGTGAATATTTTGTGCATCTCTGTTCATAATTCTCAAATTGTAACAATATCTTAATTTCCATAGATATTTCATGGCACACACATGCACATACAGGAGGCAAGACTTCTGGTACCTAAAGGCAACATTGAAAAGATAAATACAAATATGTTGGCGCTACACAGATGTCCCAAGTAAGATTTGATAAGGAAAACAATTGCAGAAAATTCTGATCTCTATCAGATTGGTAGTAAACAGAATGGCAGATGGTCAGCAGATACAAGACTTCAGTAAAACAACATGAATTAGATCAACTAAAAAACATCCCAGAGTTTTTTCTCTACTTCTCATGAGACATAATGAGTAACATTTTGCAATAGACAGGAAGAATAGCAGATAATTCATTTTAAGCTGCATTTGATGTAGCTTTAAAAATAAAGAAATGAATAGAAACAAAAAATTAATAAGGATTTACCTGAGATCTGTCAATGCGGTAAAAACGATCAGCAGAAGTTGCTGCAAGACAGAGAAACAACAGCAGAAAATAGTCTGAGCAGGACTGCATGGACAAGCTGGGCTGCACTAACATCACTGGCTCCGAAAACACCTCCTGTGTCAGGGAAGTCACAGTGGCTCCACAAGAACACAAGTTTATTCCTTATGTCCATATGAGTGGTGTGTCTCGGGTCAGTGCTGTGACCAACATCTTTGCCAGTGGCACGGAGAGTGGAATCGAGGGTGCCCTCTGCAAGTTCCCTGCTCACAGCAGCCTTGGCGGAGTGGGGAACACACTGGAGTAAAGGGACACAGCCAGGGGGACCTTGGCACGTTTGAGAGGTGGGACAGTGCAAACCTCATGGAGGCCAGCAAAGTGCAAAGTCCTACACAGGAACCATGGCAGTCCCTGCACACCTACAGGCTGGGTGGAGAAGTGATTGAGAGCAGCCCTACAGAGAAGGACTTGGGGGTGATGGCTGGTGAAAAACTCAGCATGAGCCTGCTGAGTGAGCTCTTAGCCCAGAAAGCCAGGCATGTCCTGGGTGTCAGTAAAAAGGAAAGTGGCCAGCAGGTCAAGGGAAGGGATTCTCTGCCTCTGCTCTTGTGAGACCTCACCTGGAGCGCTGTGTACAGTTCTGCTGCCCCTAGCACAAGAAGCACCTGGAACTGTCAGAGCAAGTCCAGAGGAGGGCTGTGAAGGTTTTATGGGGACTGGAGCATCTCCCTTACAAAGACAGGCTGAGAAATTTGAGGCTGTTCAGCCCGGAGAACAGAAGGTTGCATGGAGACTTCAAAGCAACTTTCCAGCATCTGAAGATGTCTACAGGGAGGCTGAAGACACACCCTTCATCATGAACTCTGGTGGCAGGACAAGAAGGAGTACAAACTGAAAAAAGGGGAAATTCAGGCTGGGTATTAGGAAGAAATAACTGTGAGAGTGGTGAGAGTGTTGAACAGGTTGCCCAGGGAACCTATGAATGCCCTAAACTCAGCAGGGTTCAAGGTCTGGCTGGGTAAGGCCTTGAGCAGCCTGGTTTAGTGAGAAGTGTCCCTGGCCACGGCAGGGATGGGTTGGGCCTAGATGATCTTTAAGGTCTCTTCCAACCCTTAACATTCTATGATTCTGCAATATTCCTATCCCATTAAATGCTGAATTTAAAGAGAATGCTTAATGAAACAGTAGTCACTGAAAACATTAACTTAATAATTTAAAATGTATAAAATGGATTTCAGTCTTATAAGAAGAATTGATTACATTAAAATATGTGACAGAAAAATCTGATTTGTTCTGATGAGAGTATAGCAAGCATATACTCAATTTGATGGGTCTAATGGGATTAATTCAAACTCTGAATCTAAAGAACAATAATATGCTTAGGAGCTCTTTATAAATCAAATGCTCGGCCACAGATATTGACTCTGAATTAGCACTATGTTCAAGGAAAATTTACACTATTCATGAAAAACACATGAAAATAGGGGGATTCACTAAATAAAGCACGTATTATAAATCTTGTCATTGCCAAATAATTTATATTACTAACCCCAAAAGTACTTATCATCTACAATGTGCTTCGCCAGATGTGATTTTTTTGTATCTGCTTTGCATTTATTTGGGTGAGTGAAATCAGGTTCATTCACTCTGCAGTTTTGACACAAGAGCACAGTGATGTAGCATTGTAGGTTTTGGCACTTCACAGGAATATCAAATACTAAAGACAAAAATTGAACACATCTACCCATCCAGCTTTCTCCAAAAACCAAACAGATTCTCACTATGGCTTTTATCAATGTCCCTCATGAGAGACAAGGAATGGTGATTAGAAATTGCCAAGGAGAATTTGGTTTTGTTTTGAGCATTAAAAATTTAAGCCTCCCCATGCTGAAGCTTTTGTAAAAGCAGATGCCATCCATTTCAGCTGTTAATTCCTGTGCTGTGGAGCCTGATGTAAGGCTCTGATAAGTCATCTGCTTTGACAAAGTCTGGGTCAAATACAAGCGCAGCTCTCCAGCACAGGGTTACAAGGAGAGGGAGGTACAATTCTGCCACCTAAAAACTCTAGTGCCTAAAGACTACAGCACCTGCAGGGTGAAGAGCTCAGCCTTACACCAAGCGGTGAATTGCCACAACTGGCTGCACTCTGAGCTCTGGCAGTGCATGCAGTAAAGTCTGCTCATCACAGCAGAGGCACTGATAAAGCAAGCTTCTAACCTGCCTCAGGGACAAGAAAAAGGCTAACCCGCCTCTCTGTGGCAAGAAAAAGCTACAGCAGATATTCTGATTGTTAGATCAAGGGTCTGTTTAATTTTTAGAGGGGAAAGTGGGAGACTCAGCTCCTTTTTTACCTGCTCAGTGTAACAAGAAGGAACCCCTCTCTAGCATTACACACAGAAATATCCTCCATAAGCACACCAGAAGCAGGCAGCATGCTGGGTGCAGCAGAAGGGAGATGCACTTACCATCTAGGAAGCACCATCTAGGAGAGAGCCTCTGAACAGAAAGTACTCTGGGGAAAGAGCTTTCCTGGTCCTGGATAGGGCATGAAAATTATGTTATTAAAGAAAACCCAGCAAACTGTTTCTTCTCTTAAAAGGACTATTTTCTAGACTTAGACTTTTTCATTTTGCTTTACTGACATTGCACAATGTGTGAAATCTATATAACCCAGGAACACAATGAAATTTTTGGGGAGGAATTAAGATGGTCTTCCTGACCTGTACTTATCAAAGACTCAAACAGGCTACACCATCTCTTTTTAGCTCATACTGGAAAGGTAAAAGGGATCAAAAGGGATCTAAGACAGCAGAGGATGATCATGGCTCTGGCTTCATTATGCCAGCCAGCTTCCTACATCTGCTGCATATAACATTTAAACACAAACATAGCTGCACAGGGCAAAACAGAGTAGCATGGATGTTTGGCACACACAGTTTGTATAGACACAGATTCTATCCTTATTCACATCTTAAGCAGTACAATCAGCACATCTGTAAAAGCTGTAAATTCAGGTACATGTTGGCTCAAGATTTAAACTTTACTCCTCTTTCAGACAACAGAGCAGTATGTCAAGTCACATGGCAGGAAAAGAAAAAGCAACAGGAAGGATTTGACTTGATCCCATAAACCTTACTCTCATATACAGCTTATGGTATCCAGCCTCTGTGCATCACAGAGATGGAGACAATGGCAGCAAAACATCCCATTGGGTGAACTCTATATAAGGAGCAAATAACACATCTCAGGGATTCAATAGAAACAAATTTAAAATACGGCTTTGTCTAATACAGGTGAGCAGACTTGTGGGATTTTAGATTTGATTGTATTGCTACTGGAGTGTTTGTCAGAAAATCAAGGATCTCTGAAACCCACTAGGCTTGCTGACATGATTGTATCTACATTCACAAAGTTTTATATTTAGTCCACCCTGTGAGGAATGGAGGGGGCTGCAACACAAAGGAGAAAAGGAAGAAAACATCCAATAGTGTGTACTGAAATGCAGTTTATAAAAAGAGGAGAAACGAGTAAAATTCATATAGTACAAAATGCTAAGAAAATGAAGATAGGAATACTGATGGTAAATGTCAACTTGAGTCACAATTTGCACATTCTGACATACTCCCTCTAAGACTTCATTGCAGTTCCACTACAGAACTAGCTTGCAACGTTTCAGGCCCATGAGAATGATATTTTGTGAGCATTAAACTCATTAGAGAAACAAAACAGAATGAGAAAACACTCCAGTATATTTTTTCTCATTTGCACTTTGGTTTGCTAATATTTCTGCTGACTGCCTATGTTTTGAACTGCAGAGGAATCACACAAGAAAATTGTATTTACAAGATTTAAAAGTACCCATGGCACTTTATTAGTGAGGTATAAAGACTGCTCAATCAGCTCAAGCACCCTATTCATGTCTGTTATCCCCCTCTTTTTCCCATTTCTGTAAAATGTAGAGGGATACCAACAAATGTGGAACAAACCTCAAATTAACCTAATGAGACAATTTGCAGAAATGAACTACTGAGGAAAATAAAAAAAAAGAATACTAGACAAACAAGTACTGAAGACAAAACAGAGAGAGGGTGCATTTAAAATGTAACATCATAAAAAATGAATGGTATGTTAGGGATTTCACACTGCTGTGCACTAGAGAAGATGGGTAGGCATCTAATTTATATACTGCTGTAACAGCAGAGGTTAGAGCCAAGTATGGAACTGATTTCTGACATTTCATACTCTCTTGTACATCTCCCCATACACACAGATTTTGTTCTTCATTTTACCTCAGGCAGTTTCCTACACATGGAGCAGGCAGCAGCCACTTAGGTTAGTTCATAATGAGTGGAACAGAAACATACATGCTGGTTTATTAGTCAATTTGCTAGACACTAACACTGTTCTAAAACCCAGTTCCAGGGCAATGATTGATGGAAATGTCAAGAATATGAAGTTAGGATTGGATAGGGAAACAAAGATACAAACCATCAACTGATAAAAAGAAGGCAAGTCCAGGAAAACATGCCAAATTGCATTTTCTTATAGTGTCTGCAGTCACAGCATCTACAGGCATTCTTGTGAAACTGGAATTTTTTTCTGCATCCCCCAAGTAATCATTAACCCCAAAGAAATTATCTGCAATTTCACAATTGGTTCCTGTAGGTTGGCTCTCTGTATGCTTCAATGAACTCATTCCTGCTGATCCAACAAGACTTGCATTGTTATTTCTAGGAAGATGCTATCAGCACCATGCAAACTTGTCCTGTGATCCTAAGCACTGTGTCAACTGACCATGGTCTGTGCCAAATCTCCATGCTAATATCAGATCAGTTCAGGAGTCAGTAGAGTTAGTCTCACTCAGTTTACTTCCAGTTTAAGCACTCTACAATGAATTATTTTACTGAGAGAAATACACGTTCTTCAATGATACTTCCAACTGAAAAGACAAGTTCTGTACTGCATAAAATGTAGAATAAAGTTGTAAAACACAAAGAGACCAATTTTATGAACTATCCACCTAAACTAAAAGCTATTTATCTCATGCAGAAAACACACATGTGCTTAGAATGGACTAAAATATTACCCTGAAGATTATGTAAAGTGAAGGTAGATTCTGTACAGAATTAAGAGGCTGGGCCTGCTAAAACACCTTTTTTCCCCTCATTAATTGACTTTATTACAACAGCTATACAATACAACATGTCATTGTTCAGTTTCTCAGATGGAGAAACAATTTTGCTTTTGTCATTTGTCCCAGAGGAAGCATTTGCTCATTCACTTCAATGTGGAAAATACTGCTATTGCAATATCACAAGCATTCAGCAAGCTTTAATAATTATAAAGGTGATTCCATAAAACTTGTCCAGGAGAAAGCAGAACTTGCTTCCAATATTTAAGGGTAAATCAGATAATTAGAAATTCATCTAACATATGGGTTCAAATGCAAAGAGTGTCATTCCCATTTTTAAGCCTCTTCCTGTTCTGATACTAAAAGGAAAGCTTATCTTACCTGGTAATGAACTCTCTGTGTAGTAGAGGTTACTGACTGTAGGTCCTAGCAGGAGAATGAAAGACATGGCAGTGATGAAAAAGATTAAAGCAACAACAAGAGCTGTATGTACTTCTACTATCTGAAATGGTTGGGCAAACAAGTCATTTGGCAAATATTTTTCACTGGTTTTAAGCATATGAAACAAATGCCACAGAAAAGCCAAGGAAAGCTCACTCCAAGTTTAGATTTGTATGTATTTGGCCCAAAAAACTAGTTTCAAAAAGAGATGACACTAATGTATCTTATCATGTTAAAAAAAAAAAACTATTTGTTACAAGAGAACTATCTAAATTTACAATATCAGCAACAAAATTAATGAAAATATGTCATAAATCTTTAAGACACTTTTGCAAATATTTCTGAGTGATTAATGCACTTAAGAAAATCACTGACAGTTCTCTCTATTTTAAAACAACCTCACTCCAAGAAGGTCATACCAGAATGGTCCTGACATTTAACAGGGTTCAGGCGTCTAATTTATTTTAATAGAGATTTTGTCAAATAGTTATAGCACATGACACAGTCTACTAAAGAGCCTGGCCTGCAGAATATTGCCCTGCAGCAGCATGGAAACTGGCAGAGCTCAGCAAATCTTGGCATCTCTACTCCCAGCAAATGGGACTGAGCCAAATCAAGCACATATGCAAAAATTAGTACAAACCCCGCAAAAGATTGGAGAAACACAATTACTACATAATCAATATGGGTGACTCAACCAAAATATCTAACTGTGCTTCCTTCAGGGGTTGTACTTAAGACTGCCTGGACTCAGTGTGAGATCACATTTCTAATCTAATCTGATGAGATCATCATCATAAGTATTTCACTGTAATTTCCTGTACTGGATACTTCAAATATGCACCACCTTACAACATGGATTTATGTCTGATAATAATAGTCACACTCCAACTCTGACTGTCCAGAAATGCATTTGATAAAGGGAATACTGGCTGAAATACAAAGAAGTGAAAGCCTCAAGTGAGATACTAAGTTTCATATTCAGATTGTAAGTGTGGAGTTCCCAAATCTATTGGAAATGAATGGCTCCCAAAGAGTTCAATGGAAGGGACGAGTTTCACAGCTCCTATGTAAACTAGACCAACTATTTATAAAGTCCTATAAATGTTCATATATAAATTGTTTATAAATGTAATGTCATCAGACTTGTAAATGTTTTTGAAAGCTATCACTAAGAGATTGAAAAAAATCAGAGACAATACATTAATGAAAACCCATTCGTTTTATCATTAAAGGGGTTCACACTTAAAATGATCTGGGTAATGAGGCATTTGGAGTCTGCATTTCCCAGGGTGTATTGTAGAATGAACTCTCATGAGGCAAGGTGTTCAAGAATAAGAGCAAAACCATTGTTAGTTGCATGAACACCCATTTCTGTGTCTTTGAAAATATCTAGTTGATATTTGCTGTGCTTAGTGGTGTCTCATATTACTCCATTATTAGAGAACAACATTTGCATAATTAGACCCACTCAAATGCCACAGTGTTTATCCTTGCATAGCACACTTTATAATCCATAATTTATGTACTTTCAACAAGGTATATGGAAAGTCCTAGTATTCCATTATAAATCAAGGAGAAGTAAACACACCCATCCACTTCAATTCTGTTATCATTTAAAAGGAATCAGTATGATTTTTAATTTCCTGTTTAGGGAATATTTTTCAGTACTTTTATTATCATATCTTAATTCTAGATTTTTGGCTTCAATGATAGGTAAATTGCAATACTCTTGATACATGGTTGTTGCAATTATTAGACCCCTACACTCAGAATGGGAAGAAGCATAAAAGGTTTGTGAATGATACCTGAATTCACAAAGGCCTCACCTCTTGCAGACGGTCAATGTACATACGACAAGTCTCCAAGTCACAATCTCCTCGTACAACTATGATCCCTAGGGGAATGGCTGAAAAAAAATAAAAAACAAAGAAAAATCTCTTTAACTGAAGTCTCTTGAACTGTAACAGACTTTCTATGGTTTCCAATGTTGGTTTTCTTCACATCTGGATGAAAGTTTTCTGCTATCTAAACCTTAACAGTTATGCAAAAGCTAAAGCATATTAATCATCATCACTTTCACCCGCTTAACAAATTTTTCACCCAATTATCAAATATTTCATTTTCAACAACCTTTCATGGTTTCATGAAAGAAGCTAAAACATATTCAGTTAAATTGAGTACTTCATTTTCAGATCTGAACATCAAATAGTATCTGTAAAACAAAGGAACATATCCCAGAACAAGAGTTATGGGGGGCACCCTTGTATCTTGAAATAAGAGTGATATTTCATTCTCAGAACTCAAAGTCTACAGGTTTAAAGCAGTGGAAATCACAGGCTGATATCAGGGAAAACTATCCAATACCAGCTTATTTTTATCTAAGGCTGCTTTTAAACCAAAACAGATATTATTCCATCTACACACAGAATCAACACATTTCCATATTTAGTCACACAGAAAAAAAAAAAGATAACTTGTGAAAATGCAGAAAAACCTTTCAGGTTAGGGCAAAAATTTTAATAACAGGAGATTGAGTTTTTCACATTCATTCTGTTTTTGCCACCAAAGAGTCCAAAACAAAATCACAAAAAGAAAAATAAATTATAAAGAATACAATAAAAGAGAAAAAGGTGAGTCCACAATAAAGAGGGCTGCCTACTAAGATCTCATTAAATAAAAAGAAAACAAGTGAACACTCTTGAGTACCTGATTTTGTAAAAGAGAATCACTGAATTAAGTTCTTTTTCTCTCCCTGAAGGGTCTTTAATCAAATAATGGCCAAAAAATTTATTGGAGCAGCAGGAAAGATATTTAAATTCTCACATGAAATATTCCAGAAGCAGAACAGAATATCAACTCATAAACAATTTTGATAACTGGATAATGAGCAGCAACATAAAATCACCAAGGTTTCTGAGATAAACAGAAAACACAACTGCGCTGCAAACCTTCCTGCTGTTGAAGAGAAGTTGATTAAGTGGGAGAGATGTATTTAAATACTTAAAGGTTCTTCATTCTGATAAGAGAACAAGACAGTGCTAAGATATTGGGAAAGAGAGCTCCTATTTCTCTGGTCCACCAAAGCCTGAAGCACAAAGAGGAGCTCAGTGGTTCCCAAGGAGAAGAGCTGGGGAGCTCCTGCTGCAGTCAAGGTCACTGCAGACCTCAGAGGCCAGCACAGGGCTCAGCAATGCTGCTAGAATTGTGTTTGGAAAGCAAATTGAACAGCAGAAGAACTGTAGACCCAGGAAAATGGGAGGCAGGGAAAAAAAATGCTGGAGTGAGAACAAGAACATAAAGAAGGAATAGGTGGGAAGAAAGAGGCTACACATCTCCTGAAATGACACTGACATCCAATAGTGATGACAGTCCCTGCACATTTTCAGACAGGCCAGGTGGAAACAGTGGTCATGGAGACCTCCAAGATTCTTTCACTCCAGAACAGAGACTGAGACACAAGCAAGTGCAAGGAAGGTCAGAAGCAGGGCTTGCTTCAAACACTCCAATGCTCTGGGCTACAGACTGATTCTCTTTGCTTAGTGTTTAATTTTGCTTAACCTGTTTTGGCAGGAGCCCCTCAAGCTCTTTGCAGAGACTTCTTAATGACTATCTAGATTCAATTGAACAGATCCCTTTGCAGCCCTTACTGAGAGAAGTGTTTGCTAAATTCATTTATAACACTAAAAACTGAATTGTAGCAGACATGGCTACACCTCCAACAGCTACAGAGCACTAGGGAGTTACAGCACTGGCTCGCAGACTGTCACCACCGATTTTTTCTCTCTCCTCTACACTTAATGGAGACTAAAGCTTTGACCTGACAAAACAATACAGATAACAGAATTGGAATCCTTAACTATCACCATTCCCGACAGACCAAAAGAGGAGGGCCTTAAAACAACTGTAATTCTAAAGATATCCACCAAAATATCTAAAAAAGAAAAACCAGCATGCAGTAGATATTAGTAGTGATACTTTGTGAATCTCATCTAATGATTGACAAAGTAGGGATTCACAGCTTTACTTAAATTATATGATACTGGTTCTTAGTGGACAAAGAACAGTTCAGAAACTCTGGGCTGTGTGACTTCATCCTTAAAAAGAAAAGTGCTGCCTTAACTTTTTGGAAATCGTGAATTAGCATGATCTATGGCACTTGGGGTCAATAGCTAGCTAAGGTGTAATGTGTGAGGTAGGTCTCAAGTGGTTCCATTCCATATGGTTCATGGCCTTTGAAAAGCCTTTAAAGTCATTACTGGATAACAGCAAAGTATATGCTAAAATGTTGCATCCCAATTTTTGTTGTTGTTCATTTGTTGCTTGGTTGGCTCCTTTTGCAAAACCCATTTGGCTTTCAGCAAGGAAAATGTTCTCTGCCCTGATTTTTATCATAAACCACAATAAGCAATCAAAATGCACTACACAGCCAAGACTTACAAAGTGCCTCACAATGGCTGCTGTTCTAAAACAAAAGCAAATGCTTAGTGGTTGATAATGGGATAGAAACTCTGGGGTTGCTGCTCGTTGTACAAATAGTGCAATAGCACGCAATTGAAGCAAAAGGAGTTAATTTATGATAAATCAATTAAAGGCCAAGTCAACATGCAGAGCAGACAGTAACATTGTGGGCACTTTAATCCAGGACTAAAGGATCCTCTCTGCATTTGCTGGGTGGATGAGGATGTGGACAGTACAAATCCCTGTGGGGCACAGGGATTACTGGATATGCCAGGAGAGAGGTGGGAGTGCAAACACATCAAAAGGACAGGCACTACAAAACCACTTTCCATGTACACACACACTGTCCACTCCTGTGAATATGTGGATAAACCCACGCACGTGACTGTGCCAAAAATAAGGAATAGTCTCAGATCATGAGCCAAGCCACAGCACTCAAGTGCCAGATATTTTTCTCCTGAGGCGCCTGCTCTTCTGGCCACTTGCATCCATCTCCCAGTTCCTTTGTGCCCCCTGAATGATGAAAAGGGATTTTGTCCAGGCAGCTGTGATGAGCAGCAGTGCAAGAAGCCCAGGAAATGAGACAGGCAGGCAGTTGCCTTATGATCTGAACCAGTACTGCAGAAAGGCTTTTGTTCTGACAACACTAACCAAAACCAAGGATCAGCAGGAGGAGGGTTGGGCAGATGCAGCAGTATGGCCAGCCTGGTGCTCTAATTAACTGCAAGATTAGGAGTGATTTCCTAAGTCCTCATGAAATTAGCTATGGAATTTGTAAGCAACAAACAAATCTTCCACCTATTAAGTCCCCATTATGCTGAATACCAAGAGCTAGTGAACTCTTTAATAGTATTGAGGACACAAATGAAGGAAGCCCAAACATACTTATATATATTATAAAATTCAATTAACTTACCTGTTTATTGTTATGAAAGGATTCGTGATCTTAATACCATGATTAACCCACTGGAATCCCAAACAAAACAGCCTTGAGACAGAACATCACAGTAGATGTGAATGCCAGGAAAACTCATTCTGCTTCTGATATCTCAGGGGACTGGGGAGATTAGACATTGGACTGTAAATGTTTAATGTAACAAATAAAGGATCCTCACTACTGAATATGTCATAAGAATGCCATTTTCCTGAAGGGCGTCCTGATATTAAGATATTAAGAATATGATATTATGAATATGAAGAACCAAGCAAATAGAGAATTATAAAATATTCAGACTTTTATATTAAGAGGTTTGGCTTTCACAGTTTGGTTTTAATAAAACTGAGTTTGTACAAAAGGACTTTCTTACCACACAAATCTAAGCCATGTGTCTCTTCAGATCCCTTCTGCTTATTATACTGAGAAAACCCAATTCTCTCTAGGTTCATTGGCTACCAGTTTTTTTCAGCCCACTTGCAAAATCCTCACATATAAGGAGGTAAAACACACACAGTGAAGATTATCAGATTAAACCAGACCATGTTTGAAACAGCAGTCATTCCCTCCAGTCTCTCAGTGATTTTTCCAATATCCTGCCAAAAGGGAAGAAGCTGCCCAAGTCAAAGGAGGAGAGAACCTGTGCCAAACACCACACAAAAAGAAACAGAAAAAAAATGCAAAGAGCTGGGAATTGAAGCTGGCTGGGAATGGATATTGGAAGTAAGAGCCGACAGCAGAGGTCTGGATAAACAACAAACAAGTATTTAGGGTATAGAAAAAGAGCAGGAACCTGTGCTGTGAGGTCTGCAGAGACAGACTTAAGACAGGCAGGAAGGATGTGTGTGGGATGAGTTATCCAAAGGGGACAACCAGGACTGAAAAAGTAAGAGGAAATAAAATCAGAAAAGCACTAAGGAAACATACAAGTAGATTATGAACAGAAGAACCTCACAGAAAAGCCTCCATGAGAAAGACAAATTACAGTGTGATTTCCTGGAAACTTAATATTCTTGCTTCTCTCCACTTCTCTAAGGTTAATATAAATATAATTTTTAATAAATTTTAAAATGTTATATAGATACAAATTTTATAAATATAAATGCCTATCTCTTCTGGTTTAAAGAAGATGACAAACTTAACACATGACAATTTCTCACTAGCTCAAAAGGCAGAGGACTGTACTGAATATGCCCTGTGAGGTGTCAAGACAAGGTAGACTTAGATTAGATATTAGGAAGAAATTCTCTACAATGAGAGTGGCAGGACACTGGAATGGGTGGCCCAGATAAGTGGAAGATGTCCCCATCCCTGGGAGAGTTCAAGGGCAGGGACTTTGAGCAGCCTGCTCTAGTGGAAGAGGTCCCTGCCCATGACAGTGGGCTGGAACTAGACAATTTTTAAAAATCCCTTCCCACTCAAATCATTCTATGATTCTATAACCTCATTATATGAAATTTCAATGGCTTGGGTTTATTCCTTCCCCTAACCTCAGAGAACAGCAATTTCCAATATTTAACTCACTACTGCCTTCTAATCCTCTTGTTTTCACTTTGCTGGGAGGCTTTAAGCAATCCATTCAACCCCTCTCAGGTTCAGATCTTATGAAATGACTGTAATGAAGAAATACCTAAATTAGCTAATGTGTGCATAACACATATTGACAAAACAAAGTTGTTAGAGCAAGGCACTGACTTCTAAGCAGACTGAAGGTAATGTTTTCTTTCATGGAGCTTTGACCACGTGCCCAAAGAGATCTCCTGACAAATAAATGCCCATTGGTGCATCCTTTACAGGATGAAAGAGAAGGTTTGTAGTTGCACAACCTGCCTTGTCTAAATCCATCCAGCTCAAAATTGCTTCCCAATATAAGCACATTTCCTTTGTGGCTCATCAGGAAGTCTTCTGCTCCCTGCTGACTTTTATATTACATATTCAGGATATAAATACCAAGCCCTGAGTGTTGGCCCTTTCTTAGCTAGCTGCTCAAAAATCACATGAGCTAGTCTCCAAATAGCTTCACCTGTGATATCCCTAAGTTTTAGAGTCAGAATGCCTTTGATAGATCAAGGCTTCTAAGTGCACTTCTGGTGTGAGGAAGCTACAGTATCACTGTACACATACACATCACAAAGACTCACAAGCTTGTCACTCTGTGTACCCCCGTGTATCTGATAAGAGCTCCTAGGATGACCCCAAAATCCTCAGGTAACCCAGAGATATTAGAGGCACACATATAATAGACATTTAGCTACAGACAATCAAAGAGAAAAGAATTCAAGATTAAGCTCCCATCATGTTACAGCATCATGCACACACACAGAGCAAGGAGGCTGCACTGAAAAGGATTGTTAGGTTACAGTCCAATCGTTAAACACAGGGAAAAAATTTTCTTTTAAAATTTCTCTTGAGTCCAGTGTGCCATTTTATTCTAGAGGACATAAGGAGCAGCTGGGTCTGTGTAAAAGAAAGTATGGGAAACCCAGAGCTGACACAAGGCTGAGAGTTATTTCTAATACTGTCATCACTGCAATTGGGTGTGATTCCTCCTTAATCTTAGTGGTACTGAAGAAGATAAGATTATTCTCCATAGCTAGGACACCCACAACAAGTTAAACGCAGTAACGGCTGACATACCCTATTAAAAATCCACAACTGTTCGGTAACTACTTATGGTGAGTTATTTCACTGATATATTTTATGGTGCAAATCTGAAATGGTGTTGCTGGGAAGAACTAAGAAGCACTGAAAATCACTAGGTGACTAGCTTATGTTTGGTTTGTTTGTTGCCTTTTTCTTAAACCAAATTGGTTTCCACATATGCCTCCATTGTCAGGAAATTGTTAGTTATATTGGAAAGGAGAAAATACAGTGTCACACAAAGATTTTTCTGTCTTAAAAATAACTCAATTGTTCACCCACAGTGCTGCTTTGGATCACACTTTACTGCTGTAACAGGAAGCCAGAGAGAGTGCACACAAGACAAGCAGGCAGCAGAGGCAGAAATAAATTCTGCCCACCTAGAGACATCAGTCCACCTCACTTCATGAGTGAGATAATCTTAGTTGTGGTCATTGTAATGTACAACTCTCACATTGGCCAGAGATGGTGAAGCTTGTGACTTAGGTGACAAGTGCTTAGGACATAAGCTGGTGTTAGAAAAGACAACTACATTTGCAGTGAAGAATATTAAAACATAACTAAAATGCCAACATATATCCCTTTCTTAAAATGCTGCATCAAAGCATTCATCCCTCCTCACTGAAGGATCAATAAGCACCCTCTGTACCGTCATTAATCATCCCCCACACAATACTGAGATGCTGACAGGAGAAAAGGGGTAGCAAGGGGAGGGAAGAAAGGGACAATTCAGAAACAGCATCTGGTTAAATGCCAGCTGCATTGATAAGAAATTTAGAAAACAACAGAAGGAGAATGAGCTAAGGACAGTCATGCCCTTCAAATGACAAAATGACATTCTTTAATTGTTCTGGAGGCTTTCAAAATGAAGTCTCTACCTCCAGCAGAGTGAAGATTAATCTTCATGGAACATTTTGTATCATGAGCTACTCTATGTCAGAAGACAATCTTAGGTGAAATAGTTGATAGATTCAAATCAGTACTACAAGTAAGCAAGGGGGATTAATGTATTCACTGTAAGCTAAAATGATCCAGATTATTACAGTGAGGTCAGAGCTTTCAAAACTATATTATGGAGACACGTGACAGGCGAAAACCATAATAGGTTCTTTGCTATTTTTCCTTAAGGGACAACTCCTTATTAATTGGCTTCCTTTTCCTGTTCAGACTGCTGTGAGATTGTACTTGGTTCTCAAATTATTTAGGGAGGTTGAACTGTTTTAATCCTTGTGGATGGAGAATGGATATTAAGTGCAGCATTCTGTATTCAGTTGTGGGTATTCTGCCAAAGCCTGAACAGGTACATAAACTTGGTCTCCTGCAAGCATCTAGTGAGACATTCATACTGCAAAGACTAAGGTGAAGTATCTTTTCTTCTGGTCTCTTTTAGGATAATGGGGATATTTGCTCTCTCACATTCTTACAGTAAGTAACAACAGTAATGCACAAGCATTACTGGGACAGTTAAGAGAGGAGTAGTAGGAAAAACAACTAAATGAAAAATATCTGGGGAGAATAGCCCAATTCAACTATGTTACATTATCATGGTGGACATGCATTGACTTGAAAGATTCAAAAGGGTTTTTTTACAAATGACCCACCAATGTCCAAAAGCAATCATTTTAAGTCTTGATGAACAAACATCTGTTTTTTGAATGATAACCTCTTAAGCACACTCCTACTAAGTGATCAAATCCATATGAAATACAAAACCAGGATGTTAGATCAGTTGCTGGCATTTTCTTATAATGTTATCATTATGAATTTTGGCAGGTGGCAAATAACACAAATACACATCTACCCCTGCAGTGACAATAGTGTAAGAAGTTGTATGTTTTGTGTAAGAACATGTAATGGCTCCTAAGGACAAAAAACATGCTAAGTACAGACACAGAAAATTTGCATCCATACTAAGGATGGATGAGAATAGCTCTCCTCAGATGGGCAACCCTCAAATGAGACAAGTAGTTTCTGACAGTGTTGGGGAGTTGTGTTCAGTGTGGCCTGAAATCTACTCAATGTCAAACTCTCAATTTAAACTCTCAATGTAGTAAATTCTGCTCCAGTGAGGAATAATCCTGATCCTGTTAAAATTCTTCTCAGTCCAGTGAAGGCTTTGATTGCTTTAAATATGACCAAGTTCCACTAACTTCAGTTAAGGCTGTCAAGACCTATGTTAAAATTTAGGCTATTTCAATTCTTTTGGTGTAAGGAGAGACGGTAAATTGAGGAGGGGTGGGACTGGAAGAGTGAATTGGAAACAGTTTAACTATCTTCTAACAATAAGATTAGCAAACCAATTAAAAGGATTGCCATCCTGTAATTAACAAAGCACTCTGTATTGCAGAGGGAACTGAAGCTCTGTTGCACAACAAACACTCATGCTTGTAATTTAATATGAATAATGAGCCAGATGCATTACAAGACTATTAAATTGTTATCACAAGAAGCCCTGTCCCTCATTGATTAATGACTCTGTGTGTCACCAAGGAAAGGAATTCCATTTTTAAGTTCAGATTGTCATCATCATTGTTGCCAAAGCAACCACTGTCTGCTTTTGACCTACCCCTAAACACAGCAATTAAACCATTACATGAGGAAACAAAACAGCGATTATTCTTTGAAATGGAAAACTGAAGGCTGGTAAAGAATAAGGGTGTGGGGAACCCAGATTTGTTCCCCAAGATAAATGTACCTGTGCAAGAATCATGTTCCAGGTCAGTGCACATTCTCAATATCAAATATATCATGGTCTCCCACTCAGCTTGAAATCTGATGCTAATCATAAAATCTGGTACAGTTTCATGTACTAGAAACCCAGCAGAACCAACAGAAAGACATTAATTAAAAAAAACTCTGTGTACAAAACACTTACTTTACAATAAATACAATAATAAGAAACATATTTAAACAAGAAAGCAGTGGAATATCTATACATGATCTCTATAGATGTTATTTATATAGAGAGAACACATTTGTACATATGCACATATAGATGAGCATACTCTCGATATTACTCATCCAAAAGTGTGTGCTTGACTCTGTTTTTGGGGGTTTTCATTGTTATTTTTGGGGTAGGGGTTGTTTTGGTCAAAGTAAGGTTTGCACAGAATGTTCTATCAAAAGCAGCCACAATCTGGCTTCTCCCAACTTACAAGCTTCCCGGAGCTTTTCCTTGTCGTAATGTAGCCCCTCGTACTCTTGCAAATTAATCCTGTTCACTCTGATCCGCAGGCGATCTGGGATGGAATGAGGACTGCAAGGAAACAAGAAAGCTTCTTAGACAGAGTGTTCCCTGGAAGAGCAAAGGAAAACAGGATATGAAGGGATTTCAATCTTCTCTGAAAGAAGAAAATGCACAAGCCTCTTCAGAAGCGAGCCATGTCCCCACAGGCCTATGGCTGCATTTACAATTATGACTTTCTACTGCACAACAGCATAGATATTACACCTTAAATACCAAGCAAGATCAAGAATCCCGTTTGCTGTTTGTGTGACCTGAAACTGTAAAGGTTTTTTCTGAATTCTTATACCCCTGTGTAGCTACCCCGCCCTTCTCCAATTCGACTTTGTGTAGATTCTTAGAGCCCCACCACAGTCAGTAGATAGATCTGCCAACTTGAATTTAAAGACACAGAAAGATGCTTCTTGGGAAGTATCTCAAGACAACCTCTGCCCATGAGAGCATCTACACCACATTACTGAAGGATCCTGATCCAGCATCTCAGGTCTGAGAAACAGTCAACAAAGATGTGGCTAAGAACCAGATTTCGAAAGTTTTGAGTCTAATACTCAGAACCGAGAAGGACTTTTAAAAGCAAGTAGCAGTATGGCAACCTCACTTTTACAAAATTTAGTTTGATTTAGATACCTCAGTATTTCTAGATACTGACCTATTGAAAGACTCAATAGGTCAGTATCTAGAAATTAGGTATTCATATACTTAACATGAAATATCCATATAAATATGGATAGAAAAGCTTTTTTTTTCATTTCACACTAGTTACTACCTTAATGTAACCTATTGTTTGATTTTTTTAAAGTTTAGCTAGATGCTATCCAAATTCATTTAGCCATATTTGCATCTTCCACTTTTAAAGAGAAAGAGACAATCTGTGTTTATAACACACATAGCAAATGTCTGCCCTATAGGAACTCAGCCCTAGGTCAGTTAAAAGTAGATTATTCACTCTGTGATTTTAGTAAAAGACTGTCAATATTTTCTGTTTTAATCTTGTTAGTACCAGGACTCTGCCTACAGTAATATTGACTAACACACTGCATTTTCAAAGGCATAATGCGGTGTACTCTCATAAATATACAGTTTGGCATCTTTCTCAATTTTAAACTATTTGATTTATAGCATTTGCACTGCTAGTGAAGGACAAGGCACATCTCACAAATGTTACATGTGTTATCTCATTTCTAAACACCAGTTCAAATGTGAATTTTCTTCACTAATGTCATCAATTAATCAGTGGTAGACTTATGTTCTATCACAATGGGCATCATTTCAAACTCATTATCACAATGAACAATCTGGGTATCTCATGAAAGCAGGAGAGGAAAACAGGCTGATCTCATGCCAACATCTGCCATACCTTGGTTAATCCCTTCCAACCTACCTGCTGGTGTCCAAACTCCATCCCACACAGGATGGTGTTTGGACACCAAGGGGAGAGAAAGATAACACTGGCTTCTGTAGATATGCTGACTCACTACCTAATGCCATGTAAGGAAGAAAAACAAATGTTATTTCTTAGCTTGAAGCCGATGGCAACCTACTGCATGTGCAGTATCACCTTCTGAGTCAAATTAGTCCTTTCACCTGAAAAGAAATGAGCAAGGTCTTTTTCTTTGCTTGCAACTGGAAGAAGAAAAGTATCTAAAATTAAGAAAATCTAGAATATATTTCTTTCTTCCAAAAACCACACATACACTGTCCAAAACTCTCTTTTAATTAGAAAATATTTAAGAAAATATTCCTATGCTTTTGCAAAAAGTATAATTTTTGATATACAGGCACACTGTATATCTGACTTTGTTTCTGCAGAAGGAACAAGCACTCATCTAAAGTGTGATGTATTTTCTGAGGAGAAATAGGAGCAGGTCCAGTGTAGGAGGGCAATCAGCTGGCAAGTACCAGAGTTTGGTATCCTGTTCTGCCCTCCTCTCACTCCATTTTTATAAAGACATGCTAAAACCACTACATAAGCAGGTTGTGTGCTAAAACATACAACTGGAGAGAAACAGAACTTGGCCTCTTGTCCGTTTGAAAAGTTTAGTTATCTTAGTAAAAATACTGTAACCTTGGAAACAGTAGCTTTCTATAGAAAATAAGCTATTACCAGAAAAACCAATGCCAGGAGTTCTTTTTCACAGGGTAGAGATTTATACACTTAGCCAGGTTCAGGCACAGGCAGCAGATTCATAACACAAGTAAACATATATAGGCATACCTAAAAACATGTGTGTATTGACACATGCACAAAAGAGACATTTATTCAGTAACTGAAGCTTAATGGTTTTGTTCATCAGTTCTTTGCAAACACCCTTTGTTCTCTTATAATAATCATTGGCTGACACATTGTGTCACTAAATTTTATTACCTATTCAAAATAAATTTGATTCTAAAACTCACTACTTGAATATTCATTTCTTGTGCTATCAGACTAGCAGCAATTGACACCAGAGTATATTGTCCTCATCAGTCAAACTAATTAACTCATTCATTCACAGAACTCTATCTAATGGAGCTGAGCAAAATACTTCCACTATCAACACTACTGCAGTCTTCATGGGCACTGCATCATAATCCATATTATTATACAAATAGATCAATTTGTCTTTGTTCAGACATACTCAGTATATCCAGAAACCACAAAGATTAAATACATAAGCATGTCCATGTAAAAGCAAATAACAGGGTGATGGATGTCACTGAACAGAAGCATTAGTACAGTATTAATAGAAATAGATGTCTCTAAACACTGTGTAAAGCAACTCGCCTAACTGCAACAAGAGGAAGAAAAGCTTTCCACATAAAGCAGCAATTTATAAATAAATTTGGGGAGATTGCTGCACTTTAATTCAACCTAAATTACTTAAATTACTTACCTCTCAACAAATATTTTTTACATGGTGTATTACATAGCCAACAAAAAGTACTTGAAAGTACAGATTAATGAAGTCTATTACCTCCTAAAGAATCTAATTAGGAACTCATTCCACAAACACATCAATCTACAGAACTAAATCCTAAATGTCATTTGCCTCATGAGGATGTAAATAAAGATTGAGGTCAAATAAAACATTCTGTTTGTTCATGTTTATTATTTATAATGATTTCATTCAAACACAAACCTAAATATGAATCTTCCCCAAGATCTTTCATCTAGAAAACACACTTGGCTTTTGATAAAACTGTGAGTTCCTCACCCCTATTAATCATCCAGCAACAAGTGAGAGGATGCCAGACAGCTCACTTGGAGCACAGCTGGTTTTCCTAGGACACATGCTCCTGCTTCCAGTCACCCAGGGAAGAGCACAGGCAGAGCAAGCTTGGGTCCTGCCCAAGCCTGGCACTCCTGCACAGCACACAGCTACACTTCTGCCACACCACCAGCTTGATTGAGCTGGGGAGACAGACTTGTAAATTATAAATACCCCAATCCCTATTTCAATTATTTATGAACCCAGTGAACCATTTCTTATACTTCATGTCTCCACAGAGAAAGGAATTATAAGAATAAACAGTCCAACAAGTCTACAGCATCCAGTGACAAATTTCTGATAGATCTCCAAGAACACAGCTCACACCACCGTACACACAAATTTTAACATGATTCAGTAAACAGAAAAGGAAATCTACTTCCCCCCATACAAAAAATACTTGAGTAAAAAAAAAAAAATATCATTCTTGTAGGGGATGTTTATAGTGACAATGAATGATTTATGAATTATCTGTCTCCTAAAGAAGAAATAAACATGAAAAATTAATTCAGTATTCTGCCGTTTAGAACAATTGGAAAGAGGAAAGCTGTAGCCAAAAGAGAAAAAGGAAATTCACCTTACTTTCAAGACTACATTGACAGAGCTTGGAAATGATACATTAAAAATAAGTTTCTGACAGCATCTATCTACTTGAAACATAAGAACTGCCACAACAGAGCAGACTCATTCAGTCCCTTCTGTGGAGCAATTTCAACGCTTCACAAAAGTTCCTGACTATTTTAAGGTGAAGGTCTTGCTAAACTCTTTACCTAAAAAAAACCCCACAAACCCTTGAAATTATAAGCTCTACCACATAATTTTTTTCTTTCATTTGGGAATCTGAACTAGATGAGCAGCCATGTCATAGGGTGCTGGGCCAAAGGACAGTCCCCTTGGTTAGAAGACGGATTGGAAAGAAAAGATAAACCTCACAGATGGGATAAGAATTTCACGACAGAACAAAATAGTATAATAGTAATAATAAATATGATGATGATAATAATAATAATAAGTGGGGGGTAGAGAGAGTAACAAACATGAGAGAAAAAAAGAGATGCACAATACAACTGCTCACCACTCAGCATATCCCCAAACAGCAGTCAGACCCCTCCCAGGTAACTCCTCCAGTTTACACACTGGGCATGACCTTCTCTGGGGTGAAACATCCCCTTGGCCAGTTTGTCTCAGCTTACCTGGCCTCACTCTCTCCCAGCATTGAGTGCAGCTCCTCAGCAGCAGAGTGTGAGACACTGAAAATAGTGTTTACTTGGGATAAACACCACTTAGCAATAACCAAAACATTATTCTTGCCATAAATCAAACAAGCAGTTCTGTACAGCTATTAGGGAGAAAACCAGCCATGTCACAGCCAAAACCAGGACATAAGTGTTATCCCAGATAAGCCAGGTTAACCTGGCTAACCCTAGTGAGTTTTTTGGTACTTTCTTATCTCACAATTTCTTCAGCAAACACATTTGGCTTTGTAGAGCTACACCCACAGAGACACTTAAAGTAGAGACACATTCTGAAGTTACCAGTAGAATCCTGGAACTTGCTTTTCTTCTCCTGCATGCTAACTGCGCTTCTCTCACACATTACCCTTCCAAGCACAGCATGTTCTCCTTAAGTAATAATCCCTCTAAACAGAATTATAGAATTTTTTGGGTTGGAAGGGACTTTAAAGATCACTTAGTTCCAACTCCTCTCCCATGGGCAGGGACACCTTTCACAAGACCAGATTGTTCAAAGCCTCATCCAACCTGGCCTTGAATACCTCCAGGGATGGGGCACCCGCAACCTCTCCGGGCAAACTGTTCCAGCATCTCACCATAAAGAATTTCTTCCCAATATCTAATCCAAACCTACTCTCTTTCAGGTTGAAATTTGTCAGTACATGCTCTTGTAAATGGTGCCTCTCCACGTTTCTTGTAGGCTCCCTTCAGCCACAATTAGGTTACCCCAAAGCTCCTGTTCTCCCGGTTGAACAATCCCAATTCTTTCAGCCTTTCCTCGTAGGAGAGGTGCCCAATCCTTCTAATCACCTTGGGGACTCTCTGCTGAGCTCGCATCAACAGGTGAACATCCTTGCCATGGTGGCGACCCTGAAGCTGGATGCAGCACTAGAGGTGAGGTCTCACACGAGCACAACAGAAGGGCAGAATCACCTCCCTGGACCTGCTGGCCATGCTGCTTCAGCTGCAGCCCAGTTTATGGCTGGCTTTCTGGGCTGCCAGGGAACACAGGACAGCTTCGCATTCAGAAATCCACATGCTAAACAGGAAAACCTGATAAGAAATGAGGACACTCAATTCCCTATAATTCATGTTTCAGAAAAAAAGGAGATCTCTCTAAGCATTTTCATCCTTAACTCTGCATTTGGAGAACTGTTCACTTTCTACCACTTTCTCCCTTACACCTTGCCTCCTACTGTTCTTTATTAGACTCTCCTCTAAGAGACAGTAACCATATTCAGCCTGAGAAAGTTGATTTTGTTTATAATTTGAACCTCTAAAGGTAAAAATACTATTTTCTATTACTCTTTTATTATTCACACAGGTTTTATGCACATACTCTGCTGCAGTCATTACCACAAACTCCATAAAGGAGTAGTATTTACCAATACAGTGATATCTGTATTTTCATTTATGCAGATTTTTTAATTGAAAAAATAATTACAGCCTACCCACAGTGTTTATTCCACTTGTAGAAGAGCTGTAGGGGCTACACAAGTAAATATCTTATTTTTCAATGGTAATTTTCAGCATCAACCACACAAGACAAATGTACTCTCACATATGCATCTTCTCGTATCTGAACATCCAGCAGGAAAATGCAAGTTTTCACCTTCCTTTTAAAAGGCCTTCAAAAATACAATGATTGTATTTACTTACACACCTTGTATAAGCATTTGCAATGGATTACACTACAGTTCTACTGTCTCTGCAAAAAAAGACCACATGAGCCTAATAAATTGGCTGCCCTAAACTCCCATGCATCTCCTGCAGCAGAAATCCTGACATTTATCTAAGACAGGCTATAATCCATCATCGGCTCTCAGTAGGATCTGCCCTGCTGTTCAGTACTAACTGGAACTCAGTCTTCTTCTATGTTGCTCAACAAAAAACCACAAAGAATATTTGAATCTCAAAGCCATCATAATCCAAATCATATTTCTGTGTTACCTCCTGGGTTCCTATTTTAATTTGCCAGACACATTAATTGGCAGCCCCAGTGCAGCAGCATGTTCAATCTATTTTTACAGATTATAAGATAGAGAACAACTTTGACTTTCAAATTAGTTTGGGGCTTGCAAGTCTTTCTCTCCCTGCTTTATTCTGACAGCTGATCTCACATGGGACATTAAAATTAACTGCATCAAAACTTGGAGGTCATTTTCCAAAGGATATCCCTGAGCTCCAAGGGATATCCCTGTACTTCTTCTCTTAGACACAGAGCTTAATGTTCTGTGTAAGAAACTAGGGTTACCTCAACTTTTTTCTAGAGGCTGATTCAGATGCTGAATTGGTGAGGCAAGTTGGTTTCATTACTTTATGCTTGCCAGCAGAATACAGCAAAGTGCACCCATGGAAAAGGCACACCAAACTGAAAATCTTTCCTTTTTCCAAAATAACAATGAAGCACTCGGGGCTTTCTGAAATTTACCAGAATCACAGAATGGTTGAAGCTGAAAGAGACCTCTAGAGGTCATCTGATGCAAATCCCTGCTCAAGCAGGAGCACCTAGAGCAGGCTGTCCAGGACCATGTCCGGGCAGGGTTTGATTATGACTAAAAATGAAGATTCTACAACCTTTCTTGGTAACCTGTGCCAGTGCTCTGTCAACTTTTTAATAAAAAGCATTTTCTCCTCATGCTCAGAGGAAACCTCCTGTGTTGGATTGAAAATATCTCATCTCAATTCTTTCCAGGAATGATGCCTGGCATTAAACCTCAAATGTGCCTGTTGCCATGGATGTTTGGGGAGCTGGCTGATGGCTGAACCTGGTCACCATCACTAGACATGTTCTGCTCACCTTACTTGGCTACTGTGGAACTGTGCCTCATCAGTCATGCTGTCATCTGAGCTCCCTCTTCCCATTTGTCACTGTATTTTACTGCCCCATCTCTCAGCTGAATGACACAGGGTAATAACAAAAGGCTGTGGAACTTTTAGAATAGAAGAAAGCCAGATACTCACACAGTGAAGGAATCAGGGGGAGCCGAGACTCTCCTCAGGTCAGCAGACTGCACTTTATGGATACTATAAGGCAGCAGGAAATGAGTGGCCAAGAGAAAAACAGCACACAGTGAGGACAGACAAGAAAAAAAGGTGAGACAGAGAGAGGAGTGGAAGAGAAGAAAGAAAGAGAAAGACACACAACATTTAAACAGAAACAAAAGGAATGTGTCACATAAACGTTGAATGAAGGGCCATGCAGAGCTCTGAGCCCACACTAGGAAGCCAAGAGCAACTGAAGACATGCAAATGGAGAAAATCACTGCTATGTGGCACACAGGAGCTTTCTAAAGACACAGGTGAGGAGCAGTGAAAAGCCCAGCACATAACTATACAAGACAAGGGATCCCAGAACTTTTTCCACAGGCACTGAAAAATTTCAAAGCAACAGACTTTGGAAGCAGGTCCAGAAACGCAAACAAACATCAAAGCTGAGATCCAGATGGATGGAATTGTCTTCAAGGGTTGACCAAATAATTACTGTTTAAGGAAAAAATACCCTTACTGGAGATTTGGTATCTACAATGACAAGTTGCTGTTTCTGTTCCTCTTGTTCATACTTTAGGGAAACTTGCATTTTATTAATATTCACCTTTAGTGTTTTTATTCACCTTTAGTGTTTATATTCAAATGGTCCCTTTCTTTTTCTTGAATGCATCAAATATGTTTTATCTAGAAGCTCTTTCCTCTTCTTTCTCTTCCATTATGCAGGGTGCTCTTCCTCAAGCCAAAGTAAAAGTCAGTGAGAGCAAAATACATTTTTCAATTCAGCAAGTGTTCATTAACTGAAACTTACTGGGGAATATACTATGCAGGACTTTTTAATCAGAAAATTATTTCTGGAAAAGCTGAACCACAGTTTCTCTTCTTATTCTCCCTAATTTTTGGTATAGCTCTCAACAGCCACATTCTTGGCTCAGTCACAGAAAACAAGCTGTGTTGTCTCTTGCACATTCTACTGTGATCAATAGTGGAGAACGGGAATGAGAATTTAGCCAACAAGTGTTTCAAAGAGAAAAAAAAAAACACACAGAAAAAAGATTACCAGGACAAAAATACAGAAGCAGTGTAAAACTTCTTCAAGTCAAGTCTTTTTCTACTCACTCCCACTTCTTATATGGCAATAATATCAAAGGTGACAATAATAATAAATCTGCATTTCTGTGACCAAGATAATTTTCTAATTGCTTTCCTGGCAAGGAGCTCAAGAAGAGCTGTCTAGTAATTAAGGATGGCTCCAGACCTACTGACTTATCTCACACATCTAACATTTAAATGATAGTCATTAAAAAACCCTTCATCTATCATGTCCATCCCATACAAGGCTCTCTGGGAGATTGCAACAGAACAAGGAGTTATATCCTAGAGATCAAGTTAAGAAAAATAGATAAACATATTTAATTACAAATTTCTTCACTTGTGCAATACTACCAATCAGCATCATATTGAATGAACTTCTCACAATACTAATATTCTTCCTAGATTTTAGCTTTTAACAAATCATTTACTTTTAATCACAGTAAGAGAAGATTCAAGTGCTCTCTCCTTCCTTTTTAATACCTCAGAGTGAAGCACATCCACAGATATATATATATAAATAGATGTAAATATCTACACACACAATTTCTGATATGTGAAGCTGACACTACAGTTCCTGACAGATCATTTGCATTTTCCTAAGACACAGATCTGCAGAAAAATAGGTCAGCCAAATCAAAGGACTCTGACAGCAATTTAGTGTACCATGGCACATTTAAATCAAGCTAAACCACAAAGAATATCCCCTTGACAATTGGCATATACTACAAATCTCGATTTCCCTACCACAGTTTAAATTCAGATCTAAAAACCCAAACCTAACCCATGCTAATTATCAGTTTGAAATACCATGAATTCTCTTTTTACATTTGCATTAGTCTCCTTCAGTGCAGAAAAAGATGTTCCAGGGCTGCCCTTTGCTTTCACTGAAGATTGAGGAGTTGTGGTTGGGTGAGATTGGGCGCTACTGCCCATAGTTAAGAGTCTGCTATTCTCTGCTCAAGAAAGATGAGTATTTTGTATCTTACATATTTTCCAGGCAAAGAGAAATTGCACATTAGAGAAATGTGTTTCTACTGCAACTTAAAGAATGAGAGAACAAAGTGCTAAATTGAACAGGAACCTGTTGAAAGTAACCAGGGTGGCTTTGATTATATTAATAGATTGACAGCCAGGGAATGAAAAAAATTCTTAAGGGCTGGAGTCAAAGTTTGAAGTAAAGCAGGATCTTTCTCTAGATATACGCTGTAAGGGACACAACTTTTAAGATAGCTGAAGAGAAAAGGTGTGCCTAAGACCTTGTGCTTTTTTTTCCCAGTTATAGGAGTTAGTCTTTTGGAAGGTATTACATCTCTTCACAGAATTTGCCTCACCATTACAATTGCAACAGCAAAATTCCCCCACCCATTTCCCCAGAAATATTAAAGCCTCAGTGGATGAGCGTTTGAATTAAATGTGGATCCTTAATAACTTTAGGGCATTAGTTCAGTATCTTTGGATAAGGAATCGACTGTTTTGCTTCATATTTGGAATATTATACGAATAACAGGCAAGTCCCTTGCACAGTCATTTTACCAGCAATAAAGATCTCTACAAGGATTACAATAATACCCTCTACAAAATAATCTAAATTATTTTATTGGGTGGCCACTTTCACGAGTCAAAATTTTACTATTTAGGTTTCTTCTGATTAAATTATAATTTCAGTACTGGTAAAGAAAGTGTAATCATGAAAAGGAATGTTAGTTCTGTCTATTCCTCTTCACAAGCTACTAGTTTCCAATCTTAGCTTTTCTCTATTCACATTTACAATACTCATTTCTCATTTGAGTTTCTACACTGGAGAAGGATTTCTTACAAAGTACAAACAGTTCTTTCAGGACATTCAAATTTTTCTCCATAGACTCTGCCAGGCAGCATGTGCTCACAGCAAAGACTGAAATATGTCCTGATTAGCTCTTGATTGTGGCAATTTCTTACGGGGTCTTCAATGCAGCTTAAAAAGCAGATCGATAAAGCTGAGAAACTAAATCAAAAAAACTTCAAGGGTAAATGGCATACATATGCAGAACCATCGAAAGCCAAGGGGCACACTGCCAAGCCTGCAGAAACCTCTCTAAATAAATAAATATATAACAGAAAGATAGAACACCAGTCTGAAAGCAAGACAAGAGTAACTCAGAAGATAAAGAGTAAAAGAAAGTCAGGTAAGTATTTACAATAGAGTGAAAAGGGACTTCAGAAGATGTGATTTTTTTTTTAAATTTATTTTTCAAATGCGCTGCAAGACCAGTACATGCAAAATCCATGACAGAATACACTGCCCCACACGGGCTTCCTGCCTCTAGGACATGCACATGTGCAACTCACTCATTCAGCAAAGGCATGGAGGTTCTCCTCTTGCTCTTCTGCACCATGTTGGCCTGGTTCCTCAGGGAGATGCGGATGAGGGAGGGGGCCAGCCGGCAGGGCTCGCCGTCCACTTGCATGGGAATGGACTTGTACGTCAGAAGCGTCACCTCCCGGCACTGGTGCAGCCGCTCCCCGTGGCCACCCACCTGGAGAGCGGCCTGCAAGCAACAAACAAAACACACAAACAAACAAAACACCAAGCAGGTCTTGGAGTCTCTGCTGGTCAGAGTGACCCCAAGATACCTACAAGTCTTTTCCCAGCCCGGCAGTCAAAGAAGGAGTCAGGATTCCTCAGCTGTGGTTTTCAAGGTTGTTTATTATTTCTTATCTATAACATCCTTTCTCTGGCCTGCCAAGGTCTGTTCAGCAGGTCAGTGTTGTCTTTAATACTAAAAAGTACGTGTACTTTATTTACAATAATTTCCCAATACCTATCACCTATGTTAGACAGTGCGTCCCTACCTTAAACCAATCCAAACGTGCCACCACCACCCAGAATATGCAGGCTAGGAAGGAGAAAGAAGGACAAAACACATCCAAATTCCTCCATCTTGGGACCCTGAGCCCCCATTCTAGAAACCTCAAAATTCTACTTTTCACCCTATAACAAGCTAACAATTATTCTGCTTAAACTCTCTTGACTTGTAATTCTGCATATAAAGGTGATAATTTGCTCCGTGGGTCAAATTCAACGTCACAGGTGTCTTGGGCTCTGTGCCAAGGCCTCTGAGCCCCCTGGCAGGGGCTCGAGCCATCCAGGACAGCCAGAGGGATGCCCTGGGTTCCGACAAGCAGGGAAAAGACAGCTCAGAACAGAGACAGCTGAGGCAGTTAACAAACGCAAAATGCCACTTTGCTGGCAGCGTCCTTTACACAGTACTCCATACCTAAGCTATTCTGAAAGAGCACAATGAAAGCATTTTCACCCCAAAACTGCAAAGCAACAAGCAGCCATCTAACCACATGCCTTATAGGACTCATCATCTGTATGTACACACACAAATTAATAACTGTACTCATTCTTAAAGCTTTCAATTTGTTTTGGTTGGTTTGTTTTTACAACAACAGTCATGCTAATAGTTATTTGCTCTTTAAAACAACATCCCTAATTAGATACATCTGCGAGACAGAGAAACTATTCCCCTTCCTGAACAGAATGATCCTTAATGTGAATTAGCAAATTTAAATTTTTTATTATGAAAGCTTACACATCAAGTCAACCTCAACATTAGACAGGCTGAAAAGAGCAAGCAGAAGGACCTTGTTAAAACAATTAAATATCATGTTAAAGAATTCATTTCAAAGAAATTAAGCAAGGAATACAATGAGCAGATCCTTCAAGATTGAGGCAGACATGTTTGGGCAGAAGTGCATTTTTTTTTAAATGAATGTGACTATTATTTGGCAATTCATTCTCATCTCTCAGATGCAGAAAAATAATCTCATATTAATGCGATGCTAACAGAGAACAGTGTAAACGCAAGTCAAGGCTTGTGCACCTTATATTATGGATCAATTGACAATATGACCAATAATTAAAAATGCTTTTTAAAAAGTAGTTCTTTCCCTTGGTTTCACAAACTCACTTAAGTACAAGCACATCTGATACACACAAGGCAAGATTATATCAAAGCTGTCTAGGGTTATAATCATTTTCAGCATCACAACCAAAGCACACCTGTAGGCCCACAGTTCTAAATTAGGCTTCCTTTAAAGAGAAACAGAAGCTCAAAGGGCCCTACTTCTTAAATTCAGCCCCAACTGAAATTGTTGGTAGCTTCTGAGACCTGTCTAGCCACTTCCGTTGACCAGAACTGTGTTAGAGGCAAAAATAAAAAACTCCTCTGACTGAAAACTGTCTGTTTGTACATGCTAAATTTTTGACAGCATTTTCAAAAACATGTCCTAAACTTCTCCTCACTTTTATTCCCAAGATGGCTAATAAACAAAATTTTTCTTGCCGGTTAGTTCCCTAAACCACTAGATCCATTTAAAAAAAAAAAAGTCCAGGAAGGTATCCTTAACTCAGACAAACTTTTAAAGAAAAGATTGACCCAAACTGCTTTTTGCTTACTTTGAAGATTAGATTTGCCTGACTTTCTCTTTGAGGAAACAAACACCATTATTGTAGGTATTTACTGAAAGTGGACTGAGGGCAGGTCACACAACAAGGGAGTTTAGCTAAAACAGGCTTATCCATTTTTCTTTTAAACTAGCTTACATGAGACAGCAGCAACAAAGGCCTACAGGTATGGAGCTAAGTGTCAGCTATAAAAACTTGCCAGCAAGTCCAGCTGTGGGCCTTCCGCTGGCCACACTAAGCTCAAGCTGCAGTGCCTTAGGTAGGCTGGTGCTAGCATGGGGAAAATTGCCAACTCTGACTGCATTTAACCAGCCCCTGAAGGCACTGTCACAGTGTTTGGCCACTGCCATAGCAGGACACCAGGGTATTTAAAGAAAGATTGCTTTTATGGTATCTCAATTTTAGCTCACTTTAAAGATGGCATTGGAAGAAAGTGCACTGACAAAATTGTTGGCTGAATTTCCTTTTTCTAGCAGAGTAAAAAGGAGTGATAAAATTCATGCAAGAAATACTAACAAAGTCTTCCACAGCTATTACTAAAGTTTCACAAGACTTTTGGTGAACATATATAGAAACTGTATGTCCATATAATGAATGGACATGAATTTATATAGTATTTCATATTTATATACCAGCAATACTCAAAAATAGACTTTAATGCCATAGAATGAAATATACAAAAGTTAAAGAGAAAAGGGAGTGTTTATTTCATCATAGAACATTGCCACAGTAAAATCATGACTTCATGCTCTTATCATACTGTTCTTACTGTAATAATCTTGTCATTTAACTTCAGAGCACTGCACATGCAAATCAGCCACATTTTGCAAGTAATACTTTTTATTATTTAATAACACTTCTCTTATTAGAAAAGAAGTATTTGACTCTGCCAGTTAATAGCAGAGCATCTGACTCTGGGGAAGCACATGTGATTTTCAGTAACAAGGAGTATTTTGCAGAGTTACCCATGGAGCCCTCCCGGCCTGGCAGCACCCCTGCACTCACCAGTGAGGCCATGGTGAAGCCGATGACTTCGATGTAGCCATCGTCATGACGCTGGGGCTCAAAGTCTCTGTGGTCACCAGGGTTCCCCCAGGGCATCGTGCCAGCACAATACCTACAGGTTTGGAGAGCCAGTTGGAGAGAGCAGCTTGCCCTGAGAGGTCCTGACTTTTAGCCTTTCAGGCTGTTCTTTTTGTTCCGAAGCTGATACAACACCCTCAGGTGTACCCGCCATAAACTTTATCAGGTTCCTCTCTGAGAGGAAAATGGGGAAACACCAGGAAATAGGACAGAGAAGAGCAGCACTCTCTACTTGCTTTGATTCCTGCTGGTAAGCTGTTGAGCCATAAAGCTGTTGTGCCCCTCTTTCCCCTCTCCTTGCTAGCTCAGCACAAGGAATGCAAAACATTGCATAGTTTGAGGGGGCAGGGAGAAATAAGAAGCAGGAACAGATACAGCTGAGGCATCTCTCTTTTCTACCATCAAAGAATAAATGTAAAAGTGATCTGAAAGAGGTAGAAGGGGGAACTTTGGAGAGGTGACACCAAGCAGAAGCTTGCAGTACAGGACTCAAAAGATTAAGTGCTTGGGACAGCCTGTGGAGCAAAGTAGGAGGTTGTCTAAAGCAATGGTCTCCAAAGTGGGGTACATGCAAGAAAAATCCACAACTGACAAGACAATTAGAGTGGTTGAAGACAACTATTACTTTTAGTTTCAATAAGAAAACAAACATTAAAAACATACATATTTTTTGTAATACTAGAATAGAGGAACATTGTATATAATTTATAAATATACATTTATTGAGGGGGTTCTTAAAAGCTTTTTACTGACAGAAATGCACAATCAAATTAAGTTTGGAGTCTACTGTTCTAGAGAACAGGTAACCAACAACTTTTGATAATTCAGCCTTATTTTTATTAAGGACACCTTGTAACATGTTTACAACTGTGACTTGTTTCAGCAGTTTGGTATTCCTTAACTGCTAAAAGATTCATCCTTCCCCTCTCTCCATTTCTGTCCCCTCCTCCCCCTGTCCTTTTTTTTTCCACACTTGGAGTCTAATTAAGCAAAAGACCAGGTATCTATCTCTTTAATAACTTGTTTGCAGGTTAGATGCACAGCTTTCCAAAGTGTGCTCGTTAAGTATTTTTACTGTATCAGGATACTCAACTTTTTAAGGAATGGTTTTGCTGCACTCTGAACTCTGAAGCCATTCTGCATAGCTCATTAACAGCATTATAAGGAGCCAGCTCTCAATGAGGTGAGAAAATGCTTCCTGCACATTCACTCAGCCTAGGAAATCTGTTAGGTGCCTTGAAAACTATTGTTATTTTTGTTGCATAACTTCAAGAATCTGTCTTGAGCTTACCTGGGTATGTTTAAAAACACTATACACTGGAACTTCAGCTCCTGGATCTTTGGAGTCAGGTCTGTACCATCACACTACAAAGCCAAAGTGACAGAGCACAGAGAAATTGCTGAATGGAGCCACAGACAAGAGAAGTGTTGCTGCTTTGTAACAACTTTCCCAAGACTTTCCTTGGAATGTGTTGCAAATGTCATGCTCAAAACTGAAAAGTAACAGAGCCATTAAACTCTCACCTCACTCTCCCTCCAAACCTCCACCTCCACCCCCTCCCCACAACGCTATGACACAATTTCTTATACTCACCACAACTTTAACATGCTTGGATAAATCTCTTGAGCTTCTTTGCAGAAAGTCTGTAAAGGCTGCCTGCAACAGAAATCAGTGCAGGAATTGTCAACACCTCCTACCTCCTCTCTTCTTTTTTTTTTTTTCCTCAGTTCTTATCCCTCCACAGAGCTAATTGCCAATATGCTCTCCTTTGGCCAAACTTACTCTCTCAGAAGACACAATTTAATTTTATTGTTTTAAATTGTGATACTTCTGCTTTTGAGAGCTTAACTGAAAAAAGCTGTTGAACACCAAAGTTCAATGGTATCCTGAGCAATTAAGCAGAAATTCTTGCTCACATACTTGTTTCCATATTTAGGGCACATGGGTGTTATCATCTAGAAATACATTATATGCCATTCATTATCAAACTAGTGTGTACTCTTAATGGCTTTAGAATGAAGTGTTGTCCATTTGCCTCCTGAATGCACAAGTGGGTAATTATATGAGCATATTCACCCATCATTAATCACTCCAAATGTCTGATTTGTGTCCTGCACTCCCCACCATCCTACATCCAAGTCTGCTCCTCAAAGCTACAAAGATACAGGCCAAAATTTTGAGAATTCCTCTAGCAAAGTCAGTACCAATGCAGTGCCCAAGCCCTGAAAGAAACAGAGCAATGCCTTGAGAAGCTTATAAGCCAGAAGCAGAGGGACCAAGATATGACCAGGACTGTGTCCAAAGGAGTGGCACTTCTCTCACCTGCCCAGCTCTGTATAATAACAGAACCACAGGCTCTTTCCTACAGACACCTGTGTGTGGCACTGCCAGAAACAGCATGACTGCACTTGAAATTGTAACAGGCAGAATAAACTGGCATGAGCTCCTGATGTGAGAAAGTGTGGGGGAAGGTAATTAAGAAGACATTCAAGCAACTAAGTTAACACCATTCTGTAAGAAAAATCTGTACTTACCCCGGCATAAAACATTTTATTTCTAAATCGGCTGTTGAATTTCTCTGGATTTGCTTCTGTGAAAGGATGAGAAAAAAAACTATGAACACCCTAATAAAACACAGACTTCATTATACCTTCACATTCTCTGCCAACACTACAGTGCTTTCAGTGTATCACTCATAGAAAATATTACCATAAATATGTTTTCCATGTGTGAGTCCCCCATCTGTGCCTTTCTCTGCTATCAGATTTCAAACACTAATATTGAATTCTTCCCTTTTCTTGTAGAGTGTGGAAATAGAGCAAAGAGGTTACAAGAATTCAATTCAATCAGTTAATTTAGCACCTCTCAGGCTATTCATTTTATGATAGAATAGAATTTTTAGACTTCTGTTTCTAAGAGTGGAGAATTATTAGAAATTTATGGAACAATAACCCATGCTTTGAACCAGGAGTAAAACATTAGTAAATTACAAGATGAAACAGCCCCTACATTCTGATTTGTTAAGAGTTACTAAGGAATAGACATTTCTACCCAAAGATTTCTGCAGAAAAATTTAAAAGAAGGAAAAAGAGAATTGGTTACTCTAAAACCTATTTAGAAACCCCTTTTCATTTTGATTAGACTCCAAGAGATGGGGAATTTTAAGTCTAGTACTAATGTATCTCTAATGGTTAATTATTCTCACTGTTAATGTAAATGTGGTGGTTTCCAATCCTGAAATTTTCAGTCTTCAACTGCCAACTGCTAAATCTTGTTATACTTCCCTGTCAGATTAAAGGGCCTTCAACTATCAGATACCTTCTCCTCGAGTAAATACTTATAGGCAGTGATTAAATAGCCTCTTAACCTTCTTTCCAATAAGCTAAATGGAGTTCCCTAATCTCCCTATATGAGGCACATTTCCCAGAAAACTGTTCATTCTTGAGCCTCCTTGGAAACTGCTTTCCTTGTTTGTGGCAGCTAGAGATTCCAGAAGCAGCCCTTCTGACCTTGTATTCAGTGTCAGTGCCAGCTACTCACCCTGGCTCATTGATTCTCTAGTGAATACATCAAACTACCAAGGCAGTCCTTCTGGCTAAAGCATAACATTAGCATGGACACATCCAAATTACCTCTCAAATGACCACTTAAAACAATACTTCCAGCTCTCTTGAAAGCTACTACATCTCACAAAATACAGCTCCATTTTGTAAGAATGAGCTGTTTGAGGTTTCTGATTTGCTTGTTGGCTCAGTTATTATATCTGTTGCTGTGTCACAGGTGGCTCAAACTCAGTCAGGGCCACTTCTACTTCAAACAATGAATTAAATTGCATAAGTCAATCTCATCTCACTTGTTGAGCTCACAGCTCTTTGTAGAGAGTCTCAACACCCCATGCTAAGCAGCAGAAGGCTTCTGAAGGCTTAGTGCCTGTGCTGCACATTCCCTCATGTGAGTATCCCTAATGGTTCCAGACAGCAGGCACCACAGCACTGGACCTTACATGGATCTTATGACAAATACTCCCCCTAACTAAAGCCCCAGTTTGGAACAGGAAAAGGAACCTTTCTGATGTCAGGGACTCAGCAGTCCCTCAACCTACTGGTCCTACTTCTGCCAACACAGATGAGCACGGATAGGGCGGAAGGACTGTGTGATGGAAAATAGAGCCTTAGTTTTGTTAGAAGTAGTAAATTATTGGGTGCATATCCAAGGCTCACTCCATCCTCACCGTTCCTAAACCATCAAAGAAATAGAAAAATTGAATGTGTTAGACTCTGTCTGTGTCTGTGGGGAAGTTTCCTGCAAATGAACAGTCCTGCACAGCTGAGGGATCAAACAGCATGCCAGCAGGGATAAAGTAAATTACCTCTTCCATGCTCTACCAAAGCATAAGGATACCAATGGAGGAAGCAGAAAATAGCCAGTACCCAGAACACTTCCCAAAAAAGTAGAGCTAAATCCATCAGACTTGGATCCAACCTCAAGTCTCAATCTGATAAGTCACAAGTGTAGAAGTTGCCATGGAAAAGACCACATTAATATATAGGTTCCTCTGAGACACTGCAATCACTGCTTATTCTAAATACAACAGCTGACCAATATCTACTGCTTCGAGTGTCCTGTTGGCTGAGAGCTCATATCAATTTATCTTATTTTGGTTTTCAGACATGATATTCATTTGTTTTAATCTATATGTGATTACAATAGCTCCACATAAGCAAATACATGCAGTCAATTACCTCAAGAGCACAAGTGCTATAGCTGTGAAAGTACTTTACATTTTGCTACTATGGCTAAGAATTTCTCTGGATTATCCTCAGTGGTAAATAAGATCTCAGTGGTAAATAAATAAGAATCTGCTTTGCACTGCTTAATTCACCAAGCCACAGGATTCCTTAGGCTGGAAGGAACCTTTAAAGTCCATCTAGTCCAACCCCCTGCAATGGGCAGGGACATCTTCACCTACATCTGGCTGCTCAGAGCCTCATTCAATCCAGCGTCAAATGTTTCCAGGGATGGGGCTCCCACCACCACTCTGGGCAACCTGTGCCAGTGTTTTAACCATGTTCATGGTTAAACACTTATTCCTTATATCTGGTCCAAACTTGCACTATTTTTGCTTAGAGCCACTGTCCCTTTGTCCCATTGTCCTATTGAAACAGGACCCATTTTTCTTATAAAACCCCTTCAAATACTGAAAAGCTATAGTAAGTGCTCACAGGAACCTTTTCTTCTTCAGGCAGAGCAACCCCAAGTCCACATGAAAAACAACACAACCCACACACCAGCAATACCTTCAAGGATTTCCTATAAGCTTTCTTCTTCTAAAATACATAGAATTCATATATTTTAGCATTTGAGAAGACAAGGATGACACCAGCAGTGAGTACTTGTGCTACAGAAGCTCCCCTGGCCACACATACCCAGACATTCAGCTTGCTCTGCCAAGTGCTTTTTCACCCGTGTAAATTTTTAAAACCCTGGCATGTCTGGAATAACATTCATCCTTTATAGGGCTCCATAACTTCATTATTAAATAATGCCTCCATTAAATGAGAAAGTAGCCATGCATTTAATCTATACAGTATATTCACAGTCACATTAGCAATGCAGAGTGACATGCACTCATAAAAAAATGCATACAGCTGTCATAATTTCATTCCTGTGCCCTTTTGTGGCCCCTCATTATTATTCCTAAAGCTTGAAGCAGTCTTAAACATCATAAAATATGCATTAGCTCATTCCATCATGTATCCTGCTCTTTATTTAGCCTGGCATTAGAGTGCTATCTTTTCATCTTGAAATGACACTCTGATAGTATGACAGCAACTATGAGGAAGGCTGTGTTTCAGAAAAAAAATACCTGCATATGAAGCTGGAATAACCAAAAGCTAAAGGCAGACACCTGAGCAAGGTTTGTTCCTACAAGCACACCTGTCTAAACCATATAAATAGAGCTGTTCATATCAGTGCAAAGCTGCTCATATCAGTCCTTAAGCCACATGTCAGTCTGTACAGGGTGGCATAGCTGCCACTGGCAAGGGGACACACAAGGTGCTACAGCTGCTCAAATTCCTGACACTTCTGTGGACATTATACCCTTTAACTTGCACAGAGAACTCTGGGTCTGTACCAAGTCCAGGGGCATTGTGGTATACTGATCCATAGGTAACAGCTGTTCAGTTTGAGAAAAAAATTATATTCCTGCCACTTCCAGTCTTGTGGCTCTTCTCTTCCCTCCACTTCCACACTCACACCTGACATATATTATCTCCTTTAAAAGACTTTGCAAAGCTTCCCTTCCAGCCTTTTTTCTCCAGTATATTACAGTCATCTTTGTACTTTTTTCATTTCTTAATCATGAAATCTCTTGGAAATTCGTAACATAATCACTTTTTCTACTTGCATGTATCTTAATGTTTTATGTTCCAGCTTTACTTCTGAATTATAAGAACAGGATGTTAAATCCAACTCTATTTCTTATTAATAAAATAACTGCCCATCCACAAGGCTAAGGAAATAAAAAGTTCATATTACCTCTGGATTCATGGAACTCCAGTGTAACATGTGCATCAAATCCAAGACTGAAGTAATTATTGAAGACATTGAGGGGAAGCTGTAATTAGATAATAAAGAGACATTAAAACAGCGTGAATGGAACATTTCTCAACACACCAGTGTTTAACTATTTAAATGTGGCTCATCATGGAAACCTACTAAGAACAAAGTGGAACATACCAGGGAAATGTAAGCAGAAGGTTGCTCTGAAGGTTAGGAATGGCTTGTGGAAAATAATCGGATACAAGAGCCTGAAGAACACAAATAGACCTACAGTGCTTTATGATCATATGTGTGTCTTTGTTAGCACACCAAAGGGTTCCTTATGTTGTCATTTAGATTTCCCATAAGGCTGCACCACTTAACATATCACCAACACAAAGGTTTTCAAAGGTTTTGCTGGCTCTTCAAGCTCAGCATGGCAAATGAAGCTCCAGCTGTGTTCTTCTCGCTCCATATATAACCAGGAGCAAGTCAAGTCCCAGAGAAGAAGCCCTAATCCTACTGAGGATGCATGAGGCAGGCAGGCACACATCTGGCCTCTTCATTATTTCACACACCCAGCGGGGCTGTAGAGAGGCAACTGTAGCATCCAATAGATAAGCTGGAAATTTTAACTGAGAAGAAGGAAATAGTTCACAGAATCAGGAGGTTTTTTTAGTTTGGTGGTGTTGTCAACATCTCCAGTCCAAATGATAAATTATGTGATCTCCTTGCAAAAATTTTCCCATTCTTCAACTACCAAGATACACTAGTGGAGATTATATGGGGACCCACACAGAAAGAAGTTAAATACAAAAATACACTACACCTTGCTGTGAAGTAGGAAACAGCTGACACCCATAAGCAAAATTCTAAGGAATTAAATTTTACATCCTCTTTTTAGTTTTCTCTAATTGGAGAATGGATGGCAGTTTTCCTGCAACTAGAGAAAAGCAACAACGACCTTTCCGATAAAATGCTAGGGATTTTTTTCAAGAATTTAATCATTGACATAAATGTTCAATGCCAATGTTGTTCAAACAACAAATAAATGCCTTTCACACAACTCTGGAATTGCTGACACATGAAAAGAATCAAAGGGAGAGATGCAAATAGAAAATTTAAAAGTTGCAGAACTCCCCACCCATGCTGCTTGAAGTGTAACCCAAATAGGTTCATCAGCATTCTGTGGGTCCCATGGGAAACAGCAGGCTCTGACCTTACGTGCCCCATCCTCCAGCTCATCCTGGGGCAAATCAGGGTTGCGCTCAACCTGGAGATTCCAACGGTCCAGCTGGACAATGGTTCCATCTTCTACATGGCACAGGATTTTAGACACTGGCTCATCCGTGTAACCCTGATAGCAGAGAGACCAGAGTATCAGCCACGGATAGTGAAAACAAATCAAGTTACCAATTACCTACAGACTTCCCTCCTTTCACACATGCCTGAAACCCTTGATACATTTTTGATCAAGCATTTTAATAAGTCACTATTGAGGTGCACAAGTCTAGGGCAGGCAAAGTAAGACCATAAGGAGAGGAATTCAAAGAATATCTGCCTGTCCTGGAATAAGCCCAGTGCTGTAGTAAAGGATAAACAAAGAGAAAGTTTAAATTATGCTTAAATTAGAAGCCAATTTACTGTTCTTGTTACTTGGCCTGAAATACCAGATACATCTATGTACACTTTTATTGCAACAACAGCATTAGTAATTCAAAATCCCAGATTGCAAATTGAAGCAAACCATTCTGCCAGAGCGAAACAGACCTTGGACACAGCCCTGCCTGCTATTTTAGCCAAAAGGAAATTCCACCCCACAGAACTAAATCTGAGCAGCGAGTTGAGAACCCCCCATAAATGCACCCCAGCCAGTCCTTACCCCACCCCAGTTGAGGGTGCGGGCAAGGTCGTTCCCAGTGCCAAGTGGAAGGACAGCCACAGGAGGTGGGGGGCTGAGTTGCAGCTCATCGAGGATGGACAGGATCCAGCCCACCTATAAAAAGGAAAATCAGGAGAACCTTTAGGAATGGTATAGGAAAAAGACATATTTTGATCATATAATATTCTGTTTTACAGAGAAGATCAAGTAAAGGAAATCTAAAAATGAATGAAGAATAATATGGACAATTCAAGGTAATTTTTTTTAATTACCATTGTGTCAAAAGAAACTCAACCTTTGACAAACAGCTATGAAAGAAAATGAGAGACACATTAAAACAGCATGGCGTCTCAGAACTTGTCCTGCCAAGCATGAACTTGCTCACAAATCTCCCTCTCCCATACAAGAGACCTTAGTCCGGAATTATTTCAATCAGTACAAGGCATTATATCTATATATATATCTATATATCTATATATATATATATATATATATATATATATAAAATATATACAGATATACACACACACATATATTTAATAAAAGAATAAAAGACTAGACTAAAAGGCAGACTACGGCTCAGGGATGGAGGCTTTGAATTGGAACAGTGAATCTGTTTCTTTTGTATCCTAAGCTATTAGTTATTTCAGAGAGCTATTTCTTCTATCTTTCTTCTGGACTACATAAAGCTTTCAAATAGAAATCTAGCCAGAAGGAACAAATTACTGTAAATTATTTTGCTCTCATTAAATGGTAATTTTCAAAAGGGGCAAAGAATTTTTGCTAAAGATGTTATCAAAATTTGATGACTGAAATTCTTGTTGCAAAAACAAAGGACTCTTCCTTAAACTACTTGTCACGTAAAAAAAAGTGAAGAACCTGTGCTGCATTTTTAGATAAAGAATTAATAAAAAATAACATAAGGGTTTTTTTTCCCTGTTGCCAGTTTTCAAGGATTCAGTGTCTACTGCAAATGTGAACTTTTAAATAGGACAGAAAACCTAAATCCTGACTACAGCTGGATTGAATTTTCTTGCCCCAACTAATGTTACTGTGATTTCAAAGATATTCTCAATCCAAAACAGGGTAGCTTCACAAAAGGCACCCAGCATCACATGGCCATCAGGAAAAATAGCTGGAGTTTGAAGGACTGCAGAGGAGGTGGCCTGATAAATACAGAAACGACCATGCTATTTAGTATTCTAGGGTGTTTCTTTCTTCAAGTCTCTTCAAAATAAATTTAATTTTGTACAAATGGCATTTATCAGACAGCTATTTATCATAACCAATTGTCCAATTATTAAAGCATTCATCTGGGATGTGCTCCCCTACTTGAGTTCATTGTCTGACAACAGCCATCTCAAGTACTTACAACTCTCATGAACTTGGATGTCACCAAAAAACTGAGGTCTTTATAGGGCTTTTCAGAGGTAAGTAATCCTCTCTCTTTCAAAATATCTATACTTCTGCACTGATAACAGGAGACAGAATAAAAAGTCAAGATAACATCAGTAGGGCCAGGACTTCTTAAAGAATTTGGTTGTTGTCATTATCACCGACTTAATCCACACATCTGTGCCTCAGCCTCCCACTGCTACAGGTAAGATCAAAATACCCACCACTTTGGTAAATGCTTTTAACTGATGAACAAACTTCTATTTATAAGGACAACATTGCTATTTAACTTGAGGTCACTTCTAAACCCTGTACATTAGTTGCACAATCCAGCATGACACATACTATCATTTCCCTGTAAACAGAAAGTTCCTGACTGCTTTGAAAGCAAAGCTTTCCACTTCTGCCCTGAAGTGACAATGGAAAAGTTACTATAAAGTTCTGATTCACCTCAATAATGAGAGGTAACATCTGGTCTCATTGCATATTCATTAAGTTCATTTGAGCCAGATTTTTCATTTCTAGATGTAATGGCTTTGGGAATAACTAGATATTAATTTGTTTCAAACTGAGCAGCAGCAGAGGTAACAGTGGAGCACTGCTCATACTAATGAGAAGGTGCTGCCACCTCTCGCACAGTTCAGCAAAGGGAAATAGGTTGGTCTGATTTAATGTAGCTGTATTCTTTTCTCTTTTAATATCTTAATGATAATCTTTTTTCCCCATTCCTCAGATGGGAAAGAAAACAGATGGAAATAGTTTTTCTTAGCTGATGCCTCCGGCTAAAGGACTGCCTTTCATGTTTAAAAGAAAAGTTCATCATTCCATAACAGTCATGTCTTGCTTTCCCATGTACCAGCAAGGCAGTGGTCTTATCACGGATTTTTTTCTTCATTCTTGCAGGGGAAACATTGATATTAAGATCCCTATCCCTGGGGTTTTAAAAGAACCCACAAAAGCTGGAAAAAATCCCCCAGAAGTTCCAGCCAAGGTGAACTAAAAGAGGGGATTCAGCTCTCTACAAAATAAACCAACCAGCTCTCCATGCCCTAAACATCTACATAGAAATGTTCTGTCCAATCACTGATCTTTTAAGTAGTAATGCATTTTCCTTACCATTCTTACTGCTAAAATTGCCACCAAATGCACATTGAGGAACTGAGCCCCTAGAGATTAAAGGTCAGTTTTTCAACTGCATTAGCATTCAGTGTCACAGACTGAGATTTAAAATATTTTGAAGTACTGGAAAGAGAATGTAGTTATAATAACTCCATTACCACTCATGACCTTCAGACCATGAGCTGCAGAGTTTTTCTCCAAATGAAGGTGCACAAATCCTTTCAAGACCTGACCCCATTCACTTATCCAGGAACACAGAAATTGTGTTGTTAAGAAAAGTACTGAACCTGGATCTGCCAGGGTCTAGCAGGAAGGAGCAGAAATTAAGATATAATGGCTCCCAGACACTAAGTTAACACTCAGATCTAGTGTATATAATGAGAGGAGGCCAGCAGAGTTAGTTTTTATTCCTTTTAAGCTGTACAAAATCTTTATGCATAAAGAAGAGAGAGCTTTGGACAAGAGAACCTGGCCCCATATCTTCACAGGCCAGACCACACAGGAAATTGAAGAACAAATATAGATTTCACAAGTGTAAGATATATTGTCTCTCAGTGCCTCTTCAGGCAGGGTGAGATGGAAATCCCACCACTGTGAGGAGTTTAATCACTTGGCCAAAGAGCATGGCGCTGCCAGGCCCCTGCCACCTACCGTCCCATCCCCGCCGCACGCCAGGATCCGCAGGTTCGGCACTTTTCTGTACAGCTCCAGCCTGCCCAGGGAAAAAAAGGGGGGAAAAAGGAGAAAAATGTAAGAACAGCAATGCAGACATTTTTAATGTATTTTGCTGAGTGACAGTTTAACCACCACTTACTGCATTTTCAAATATTCATTACTAAGAATATGAGGAGAGGTGGAAATGCGAAACCACCAGGATGTGAAATGAGGCCTTCCTCCATGTCAGGCAGCACCTCCTGACAAGTGTTTGATCAGTTTAGCATCTTCCCAGATTTTCATATTCCCTCTAGGGAGGTCAAAATCTTTCATTTTTCTCTTACCCTAAAGTAAACAAATTTAAACATTGAGGTTTTAAAACAATATTTAATGTTCTTCATCATGACTTGTTGAGCTACCATTTCTGAGTCTTGTATAATGTGACAGCTTTTACAACTAGTGACTGTATTTTAACACCACAGAAGGCAAGAATATATAATAGAGTTCTTTCTCTGGATATGTGATCTAAATACCAACAGGAGAGACAAAAAAAAGCACCCATTGAAGTCCTGCTCCTTCAGTTGCACCCTTCAGAAAGCCATAATGAAATATTTTCTAATGAAGGTGTGGACGTTCACATGTAGAGAGCTGAGTGGTCAGAGGAACTCACCCTCCTTTTCCCCATTACACAACTCTGAAAAATCTATGTCTAACTTAAAGCTTCTTAACATCATGAGAGAACTGCTTCTGCAGGAAAATAAAAGCTTGGGTGCCTTGAATAGGAAACACTTGGACTGCTCTTCTACAGGCAAGTATTTGATTTTTCATTATTACTGTAAAATATTTGTAGTAATAATATTTACAAAAACATAAAAACCATATTTACAAAATGTGAAAATAGTTCTGAATAGATGGTTAAGAAAAGTCAGTAGCCCCATGTCAAGTATCACAAGAGGGTGGCTTCTCAGCCCTTGGCAGCAAATATCAGTCCTTTAAAGAGAGGTACTCTCTCCCTTGGAAGAGGTTTGCACTTGAATTATTGTCTGGCTAAGCTGAGTTAGTTACTCAGTGAGCAGGGACAGTTGCACAGTGCTGTCTGGTGGCAGTCTGGAGACAGCCTCACCCGCTGGAATGCTCATTCACTAGGGAATGGTCAGGCATTGGGATCCTCAGCAAGCCTTGGAGCCTTCTGGACCTGCCTCTATCTGAACCTGGGGGCAGCTCCTGACCTCTTCTCACAAAACCCCCCACTGCAGCCCTTACCCCGTGGCATTCGCATTTTCTGGAAAAATTTCTTCACCCAGGATTTTTCTCCTGGGAAGCTGAGAAGCCTCAGAGAAAAAGCAAAACAAATTATTTTCTCATTTGCTTCTCCTGTGTTGTGCTCACATGTGGAATGTATTTGGAGGTTGTTTATTCAACAGGTAATTGTTTCATTGGTTTCTGCTGTGGGTTGTTTTCACTCATTGGCCAATCAGTGCCAAGCTCTGTTGGGACTCTGGAGAGAGTCATGAGTTTCCATTCTCTTGTTAGCCTTCTGTCTATATCTTTTCTGCATTATTTAGTGTAGTTTAGCATAGTATTCTTTAATATAATATAGAATCTTAAAATAATAAATTAGCCTTCTGAGAACACACAGTCAGATTCTCCATTCCTTCCTTTGTCAGGGCACCCCACAAATAGAATACTCCCCTTGCTACCAAAACCTGGATGTGTAAACCTCACATAGCCACTAATCCAGCCAAGCTGGATCTTTTCCTGTTTTCCTGACCAGATCAGAAATAGGGTGCACAGCAATGAAGGCTCCAGTACTTACGCATCTCTCGGCCCTTCCTGAGAGAGATCAAAGACCTGGCGTGGATTCAAATACCACATAAACATTTGGAGAACCTTGGTGCCCTGGCAAGAGAGAAAAATCAAAGGAAGGGAAGTTATGAGCAGTTTAATGATTTTTGGAAATAATAGTGTGCATTACTCACTGTATTTCAACTGCTTTTCTTTTTTTCTGTGCTTTATAAAACCAACATAAAACAAGAAGACAAACTAAAAAGTGGCATAGCAAATGACTGCTCTGTAGGATAACAATCCAGGACAAGGTACACATGCAGGTGTATAGAACAATTCCAACAACACAGATCACTAATGGTCCATAAGAACAGGCAGTTGGGGTCAGACCAAAGGTTCATCTCCCACAGCAACCTGTTCTCCTGCTTCTCACCACCTGCAACAAGAAGAAACCTCTGTTATCCCACCTCACCCTCAGCTATCCATGACAGCAAGAAGTTGAACAAGACTTTAGCCAAAATCTCCATCACATTGAACAGTGTGCTGCCCAATGTCCAAGCAATGGCAGTGGCACATCACCATGATGATCAGTCATCATTGTAACCTCTTCCATCTAATGAAGCAGGAGTCAAGGACTTTGAGGGGTACAGCTGCCCCAATGGTCCCTCACTCTATGCAGTGTGGCCAGCCCACAACCTAATGGTATAATTTCTGTTTTCTCAAACTCTGAGCTTTATATTCCCACTCAAATCCCTTCCTTCACCTTCTGACCAGACACAAAGTGACAGGATTTCTTACTAGTAGCAGGGAGCTAAGAACTCTATGGGCTGAGCTTGTGCTCTAATTCAAGAATGCCTCTCAGACATGGCCTGAGGGTACATATCAGGAATTTTCCATAGCTCTCTCTTCCTAGGAATGGCTCTTCTGCCTGACACCTTCCCTGAAGTGAAGAACCAAGAATAGCAGTCATACTACCTAGGAAAAGGTATATGAACAGAGAAAATAAATGGGATGTTTGCCATAGATATTCTTCCAGTCTCAGCTGTGTGCAGTTCATAGAACTCTTGAACCAGAGAGAGGTACAGGACTTCACGGTTTTTCACTTCCAAATATCTCAGCCTGTGTAGATGTTTAGCATCTACAACATCCTGATGCAAGGAGTTTTTCACTGAACTACAGACTGTGAAAAGAACCAGCTTTTTTCTTTTGTTTTGAATTTGATAGCATCTCTAATTCTAACAGAGGAGAAAATGAGCAGTGCCTATACTACTCTCCATGCTCTATAGGCCTTTGTTGTATCTTACACCAATCTTTCCTATTACAAGGCCCTGTTTATTGAAAGGCACTCCAACTCTTAGATATTCAAGAAGTGGCAGAACCAGGGCAATAGTCACTTTGGTAAGTATTCATTCCAAGAGTCCTAAGGAAGAAGTCTGCTGCATTTCAGTCACTGCAACATGCTCTCTGTGGTACAGTCCAAGACCACTAATGATTTTTCTTAGATGCCATAGGAATATGTCATTTCACATTCAGTAATTTTAACCAGCCTTCCCTAGCAAAGCTAAATCACTTTTTGGATAAAGTCTAAAAGCTTCACTGGAAACCTAAATTCTCTGTGAAAAGATGAAATCTCCTGAAAAATTCCAAAGTATCATTTTAGATTCCTTTCAAGAATCTGAAGATAGGAGTACAGCCACTCAAATACTCAAACACCCATTCCAGTCATCCAACTCTACTGAAGTAGAAAAGCCATTCCACAGCAAGGACCTCTTCTGAGGAACGTCTTCAGTCTTCTTCAGGCAGAGAGTCCTTTCTATCTGACTGGCCAAGAAATACAGCCACTTGCAGAAACTCTGCTGTTAAACTTAAACTTCACAATCCAGACCCAGCTGATACTCTTACCTGATTCCCTCCACTTTTTGGATTGACAAAAACCAGCAGTGGCTTCATGAGTGGAGAGGAGATAGGTTTTATCACAAAAGGCCGGCCTTTGTTATCCTGAGAAACAGAAGCAAGGACCAGCTTCAGTACAAGGGATGTAAGATTCTTTGGCAAAGCACACACAGAAGACACAACCTAGCTCTGACAAAACTACCTCAGGTACTGAAAATAGTACAGCCATGTCAATGTGGTGTCCAGTTAGAGCAATTTAACCAGCTGAGAAAACAGAATAAAATAAGAAGGGGAAAATATAATTTGAGGGTAGCTTACAACTATTTCAAAACTCTTTTGAGATTATTTCTGACCCTATTCCCCATATTATTCACACAACACTGCTAACGTGTCAGAGACAGTGTTATTTCTAATACAAACAATTTTTCCAAAGGAAAATAGAATGAGATAAGTTACTTATTCCATGAATTTCATTGAACATACAAGTTGCATAAGCGCTTATTTGCAGATAATCTGCTCTCAAATTCTTGGCCTTACTGCCTTCCCACCTTTGAAAAAATGCCACAGATGCAACATGACACATCCTTGGGAAAACTATTTGCCTCCCTACCCCACCCCTGCAGGACACCCCAGAGCCCAGTAATGAGGGCACTGTCCTGGGCTTTCACAGACACAGATTGCAGTTTCTGGTCTGCAGTTCTCCCACCATGCAAGAAAGGACTTGGACCAGAGAGCCCTGGCTATGCAGGGGTGAGTCTCCCTCCACCTCTCCCATGAGGCTCCTTGTCTATATAATTAATCCACTAGGAAGGATATGGAAGCAAGGTCTTCTATAGACAGGTGGTAAATAAACCAATAGATCAATAAACTGCTTTCTCTCTCTGAGGTCCAATTTTAATATGAGATCCCCTGAAGAAGACATCCTAAAATGGATCACATCTGGGCCACAGCCTTGCACCAGTGCACTCACCATGGGTTTACAATCCCAGTTTCACTCCCCCTGTTCTGCTTAGTGGAAAAAAAGGGTGTGAGCTGAGTCTCTTACATTCCAAGGGAGCACTCTTTCTTTGGGGTGCTGGTCCTTCTGGAGTATGGTACATTGTTTCCCCGAAAAAAATCAACTCAGAAAAAAAAAAAATTTCATATGAGTTTTACCTCTTCTAACAACAAATTCAATATAATAAAATTTCCCAGGGGAAAAATACATTAAACATTCCAGTGGAAAAAAAGGGAAAAAAAAAACCTAAAAACTTTTAAGTCTGTGTTTAGACATTTAAACAAAAGGAGCATGATATCCAAAGCACTTGAATACCTACATCATTTCCTCTTTTGCTGGCTTTTCTTTTAAAGGACGTTCTCTTCTTTCGCCTTGTTGAAGTCTTTAAGGAGTTCTATATCAAAAGAAAAAAGAATACATGAAAAGCAAAACAAAATTTAGAAGACAGGCCCAGACAGAGCCCCTTTACGAAGCTCTTCCATGCATGTCCACTTGGAGAATGATAAGAGTATCTGGCACATGCTCAAGATTTAAACTACATGCGCTGCATGCGTTACACTTCCACACCACCGTTTATGGAGAAAGCCACACACGGAGACCAGACTGGTGCTTTGGAACTGGAAACTTTCCCACGCTGTGAGGGGGGAAAAAAGATCAGATGCTCCCATAGACTCACATAACACCACATGTTGTACCTGCCAACCCTCCCAAAAGGGGTAGGAGACGCCCATTTCCCCTTCGGGGCTCCAGTCTCCTGCCCAATCAGGCTCGTCTCCTGGTATGGAGACCACCTGCATAAAGATGTAATAAAAAAACATGATAAATAAGATATTTTTCATGTTTTTTTGTTTGCTTTTTTTAAAGGAAAGAAAACAACAAGTTTTAGCTCTGGCAACCATTATGACTCAACGTAGGCTACCATGGCATATGATGCTGACACTGTAGAGTCAGTTCCAGCCTATCAAGAAATTTGTGCAATCATCTGCTAAGGAACAAACTGAATTGCTGATTTTTAAGGATTTAAGTAAAGAAGGTGTTTGTCAGCTGATTTTTTGTTGTGTTTTTAAAAATTAATACCACTTAACTACGTAGGAGAAAAAATGTAAAAGTGCTTGTATTTGTGAAGAACCTATTAAAATAGAACTTATGTTAAGGCTGTTCTCCAGGCAGATGACAGTCTGCTCAGTGACATACAGCAAAAAGGTGTTCTGGTGTGATAAGAACAGTAAAAAGGGTAATTTTATAATACTTTTTTCTTTATTTTAATTCACTAATTGAAGTTATACCTGCAGGAAATCTTAACCATTTCCATAATTGAAATTTTGTCTTATGGGAAATACTCCAAATATTTTTACAGTATTTCAACTTCTAGTCTAACCATCACCAGGAAACAAAGTAGCATGAGGAATTAGAAGAAAGTTCATTGATTTTTTTTTTTTCCTGGTTATAAGAAGGAAAGCAAGATTCACTCATCTCATCTGAAAGTTCTTTTCTGTCCTGACCTTGATCAGATGTGTTCCACTAAACAAGCAGAGATCATGAAATCTGTAAAAAGTGATGTTTATTCTTAATCCTGCTTGCTATCTAACATCAACAAGAATAGCTAAGTTTTTCTTAATACTCATCAACCACTTCCAAAATTTCAAGACTTGGGTATGACACACCAGATGCACAAGTTAATGTTTCCACATCCCTGAGAAGAAAAACTAACAGCTATCTAACTGAAATACCTAAAGGCATTGCCTTCTATCACATAGACCAAGAGAAGCCTGCCACAGAGCACAAGGTCCCAGGTTCTCAGCATTTCTGAAGAAGGAAATAGTTATGCTTATTGCTTACTGAAAATACTGAAGACAAGACAGCTCTGTAGAGCAATACCAGGAATCTGCCCTTTTAGACCATATTTTGAGAAACCACCTAAAGAAGCATTCACAAGTTCATAATCTTCCCCATGCTGATACAAAGTGATCTCGAAAGCATGATAAATCATACAGACTGCAGTGACTACCAAGTGCATCAGCAATCCCATCTGCATGGTCTTGTGCTGCCCTGCCTCAGTAGTCACATGGACTGCAGACAAAAGCCTTGATGTCAACACAAAGTTTGGGGGCATTACATTCACAGCTGCTTCCCATGGGGGCCTTAGCCCAGTTCCTCAGGCATTCTCTGTAGGATTCTCCCTGGATTTGGGCAAAACACAGGTCAGAGAGGAGATCTAGTCTATTCACACTCTTGTTACCAATGTTCTGAAAGCTCACACGCATGTCAAGGGTAAAGATGGCTCAGTAAAACCCCAATAATTTTAAAAGAATAATTTAAAGAATTAATAAATGTAGTTGTCATTAAATCCCACTATAATGGGGATTATATTCCCACAGTGGAGTGGGAAAAGGCATTCAACTATATTAAAGAAAGAGTTTAAGGCTAAGTCTCCATTCATGGTTATAACCATTTTAATTTCCATACTAAAAAGGCACTAAATGCTGCATCCCTACAATGTTATTTCACCTATTTTTTAATTTTTTTTTTTTAAATATGCCTACACCTATAGTGTCAACAGAACCTAAAGCTTTGCTGCAGAAATTGCAACCTCATGTCCGTAGCAGATGAACTGCAAAAAGCTACTTAGACATACACAGGAGTTTTTTGCAAACATGCAGCAGAGTAACAGCCAAAGAGAATCAGCAGTCTTTGCACACTGAAGTGAAGAAATGGATACATAAGATCTTGTTCACAGAACAAGGTAATGAGTGCTTTGTAAACAAACAATGTTATTTAGCAAGGTACCTGATAGCAAAGCATACCTTTAAATGGGCACAATAAGTAAATCCTAACTTCCCTCTAGAGAGGAAACCTCTCCTTTGTGGATGTCAGTTTGTGCATCTTCAAAAAGAGATTTCTCATGTTATTAAATGGTCAGTATAGCTCTCAGAAAGCTGAGGTAGATGAACAGAGTAATTGGAGTTCTTCTTGTACGGTTTTGGATGGTGTGAAGGCCATGGCCTACCTCAGATACACCCAATGAAACCTTTCAACCTTTTCCCTTACAACACTTCATCCTCGGTTTTCAAAGGCTTTTAGTACACTGATTTTCAAATTACTTTAATAATGAACAGTCTCTGGGAAGGTCAATCTTGACCATATTCTGGTTGTTCACAAACCACTGTCAGACAAGCCAGCTGCACTCAGCAATTGAGGAACTCTAGAAATAAGCCCAGGAATGTAATTGTTCACCAGAACTAGTTCACAGTCCTCAAAGGAGGAGAAGAAAACACCAATTTACTCACCTTGAACAGAAAAACCTTGGAATTTTACAGTTACTGCCTACTGTCTTCCCAAACAGAAGACAGACTAAATCAGTAAATCCACCTGTCAGATTCTCCTTATCATCTACTTTTCTCCCACAACACAGGCATATAGCAAGTCCAGTGCCAGAGCTAACACCACTTTGGCTACCAAACATCACCTATAATAAAATACCACCAGTCAACAAGGGTGACCTGCTTCACAAACTAGGAGATGGAATTGTTTGGAAATCCAGGAAAGCAGAGCAGGTAACAAAGCACTGCTAACAATCGAGAAATACTGGAAATCAGTAGAAAAGTTACAGAAGTGGCTCACATTACAGATAACATGGAAGAGGTATATTGGAGTTTTCCATTCATATAAGGGGGTCACTACACACAGGGCTACCACCAATTCCAAAACTGTTTGAACAATGGTGAATATTCTTCATCTTTAAATCAGTTGCTTATAAGAAGCAAAAGCTCCCCATTTAGACCATAAATGTCAGTATAAATTTGTTTTTAATCAATTACACCATGATGCTTCACCAGCCCAACATTGTTGGTAACGAGACACAGAGTGTAGTCTTTGTGCTAGCCTAATATTTGAAAGGTGGTGACCCATGTTGTACAAAATAAGCATGGAAAACCATTTTTCTGGCAGTCAAAAAATAAAAAATTGTAAAACAGGGCAAGGTTTTGCTACAAAATGCCATCTTATTTATTTCAAGGAAAGCACAAACAAACAGGATGCAGGCACCACTAAAAATCAATTTTATATGAGCAGGGAGTTCAGTTCAGGAGTTGTCTGTGACCAATGTAAGTAGTTAATTAGAGCTGAGGAAATATTTTATACCCAAAAAGCTTATAGCCATATTTATTCTGACTGTTAAATATGTGAAAAACACATTGTTGATTACACATTCATTTTTTTTTAATGTGAAATTACAACAATTTGTAAATATTTTGTCTGTACTCTCCGGATGAAGTGATGTGAATATTTCATAGTGTTTACCAAACATTTCTATAAGGTGAAGAGAGTCATAATACATAGAAGTAGAGCTGGCCAGAAACAGCAGGAGAGGAAAAATATTTCCTAAGAAAACAATAAATAAGAAAACAAGGCTTCTGCCAAAAAATCTGAAAACGCATCCAGAAGATGCATCACTGTTTTCTAAAGTAATAAGGATGCATTTCCCATAACTCCAATGGGTGCTATTAGGAAGCTTCATGGAAATGCACCAATTGTCTGTGTTAAATACAATTCTGATCTATTTAATGCTCCAGCTACTCAAGATAAGGTTTTCATGCTACTGACCATGAAATTCAAGGACTAGAGACGTGATTGAAAGTTAATAATCAAGTATTTTCTCTGTGCTCGTGACTCAGGCACACAAAGCTAACAGTTACTTTCTTTTGGCTTAACATTTTAAGCCTTTATTTAGAAGATATTTTTTCCATAAATTATAATTACCTGAATTAGATTTATTTTTTAATTTGAAGTTTAAAAAAAAAAAATGGACAAGCAAGCAAATTCTCCATAAATATTGCAAGGAAGATATACCCTGCTTTGGGCAAAAGCCAAATCAAAAAAAAATATATGTCAGAATTTATTGGGGTTTTATTTGTTTGGGGGGTTTTTTTCCCCCTTTTTACTAAAAATTAAGTAAAATAAAAATAAAAACACTTCTTTTTCTAAGGTCAAACATGGATACATCTGTCAAATACTACACAGTTGCTGAAAGTTAGCCAAGCATATTAAGTCTCTGTTTAATATGGACTCAACATTCCTCAACGAAAGAGAAAAAAGTATTTCTCTAGAGGAGACTGAGAAAGAAGAGCATGGGGAAAAACTACAAATGGCAAAAAAACCTTTTTTTCTCAGAGTAGAGGTGGCTAGGAATATTGCAATGCTCCCTCTTGATCTAAGGAGAAACAGAGGCCGCTTTGGTTGATTTTTTGGTAACACTATCCATGTATTTCCTCTGCTCCTTGCCTTTAACAACCAGGCTTCCTACTCATGCTCAAATCTATCACATCCCTAAACTGGAACTAAAAGCAGTATCACAATTTTGGCCTTCTTCTGGTTTCATGGACTACTTTTGTCTTAATGCCTTGGCTTCAGCCTGAACTTCTTAGCTTCTTCTTGACACCCAGGAGGCAGAATCAAAAAGCCCAGGTCACTTCCCAAGGATGGACTGAAATAAAGAATATTATTCTGAAATAAAGAAATTAACCAGCATTTCTGACTCCTTGATATGTTCAGCATTTGTTTCTTTCAGCTCAACTTCGAGTAAAAACAAACTTTCAAAGAAAAAATTATCCTTGCATGATGTGAACCCCCTTTTAATTTCTGGCCAGCTCTCTTTAGGATATGTTTTTTCCCTGTTGTGTTCAGTGAATTACCCTCTCCAAGACCTGCCACATCCATCAAAAAGCTTTGAAGTCCAATGCCTGTTATGTGCAACAATAACTGTGTGCGTTTGTTTACAGCTGAATGTGCAAGCAAGACCTGATTCTTTACATGTCCATTAAAGGCAAATTCAGAAAGATGCAAGTCCAGACACAGCCAATTCCTACTGCAGTTCAGGTGGATGTTTGTGAAGTTTTTCCCTGTATTTGCTCAGCTCTATTTAATGAAACATGCTTGACTGCCTACCACACAGAGGATGTCTTGCAGTATGCTTGCTGAACTCACAGTTACAGGAACAACTCTGAGCTGAATCAGCTCAGAACAAGTCATGTTTGTTGCTAATCATCCCAAACAGGGAAATTCACTGAAGGACTTGATGGAGGGGAAGGAGGATACAGGTTCATAACCACCATGGATGTATGCTGGGTTTCAGGGAGAGAGGCAGGGTTGAACAAGCATGCCTTGGTGAAGGAGGACCACGCAGAGAAGCCAGGCTGGCCCTGCACAGCCAGACAGGCCCTGCACAGCCAGACAGCTTCAGAAACAGACATCAGCATGCAGTTACCTGAGGTTTCTTCACCTTAATGATCCAGGTGGGAGGCACAATGACAGCAGCATGAGCCCCCAGGGAACATGGCTCCTCAATGTGATGTAGCATGAAACAGGTGACTTTGTTATGAAACTGGAAGAGAGGGAAAGAGAGGAGTCAAGAAAGACAAAGGGGAAGCATGGAGAAGAAGATGATGGTGTTGGTACAAAAACTGGAGCAATATTCCGAACTCCATCATCTTCAAGTCCTTCAACGTATGGAGATTTAGGACATGTAACTAAAGATTATCTTCCTAAGCCATGTCTTCTTAGAAAAAAAAAATTAAAAATACACAAACAAAAACGAACCAAGACAAACAAAAGCACCAAACCAACAAACAAAAAAATCCCACAATCACTCCTAGTCAAACTCAGTCTCCTGAGGTATTTTCCACTTACCGCCAGCTTGCACCAGGAGCAACTGATGGCCACAATCTCTTTACTATGGAAGGAGAATTTCTGCTGAAAGCCCTAGAATAACCAGGGGGGAAGAAAACATTAAATTCCTCTTGACTATAAGAAAATATGTATCTCTAACTCTAGCCAGGTGACTGTGCTAGGCAAGCAGATTTTGGGGGGATAAAACAATTACAGGAGGTAACAGAGAAGCTTCTTCCACTGGGGAATATTCACATAATTTTTTAAAAGGATTTGTGGAAAATTTTTCACTTTTACTTAAACTTTTTTGCAGTTAAAAACAATGGAATAAATAGAGAAGAATTGTCTATTTTAATTTTTAATGGATTTCTACAGACGCGTAAGTTTCAGATTTTCTGTTGAACAAAGTGTTCTGTCATTGCAGCCTTGTTTGTTCTAAATATAAACAAGAATTTGAATTTTCCTTTTTTACTACAGAGTAGAATTACCTTTTTTTAATGACAGAATTAACTACAATGTCTCTCTGGGAGTGTTCTGACAGGGAAATGAAGTTATTAAGTTTATAATTTTATTGAACTGACTCAGATTAAAGTCTTTCCAGTAAGTTCCAAAAAAAAAAAAAAAAATTACGGCTTGGTTCAGATCTCACAATTAAAATAAATTATTTCTTTGCATTTCTAAAGCAAGAAAAGCCCACCCCAACCAGAAACTGCAATTTTATTCTCCTAGAGAGGAGCTTCTTTCTACAGAATGCAATATGACTTTGCTGTAACTTCTAAGGTTGGAAAAGACAATTGGGTCATATATATCCTTCTGCAGGCAACACAGGCAACAATCAGATACAGTCTGTAATTTTGAGCTGAGTTAGGTTATTTTAGTCAAGAAAAAAATTGATTTGGGTTGATGTCTGGAGACATGGAAAGTCCACAATTTCAGTGAAGAGTTTGTCAGTTGTCTTTACTGCTTAGATTTTAGATTTGCAGTTGGTTGGCTCCTTTATTCATGGCCTTCCATCAATCCCCTCTCTATCTCTCTAAGTAGCCCATCACCACTCCGAATTTTCTAATTCCATCTCTCTGCCAAGTGATGAATCTGTAAACCAATTTTCTTTTCAACAATCTGAGTAATACCTAAATCTCCTACATGCTGGAAAATGCCCAAGACCCAATGCAAAAAAAAGTTATAAACTGATTTAGTAACATCGACCAGGTCATTGCCTCACTGCTTCTGTTATTAAAGTCCTTCTTCCCCCTGCAGGACAAATGAGCCTACTAGTGCTCAGTGAAATGAAAAGGTCAAGCACACCAAGAAGGAGAATTAAATAAACAACCAAAAAAAACCAAACATGCAGAGATGCCTTGGTGTTCTGAAGTGAGGGGTTGAGCTACAATCTGTCTGTACAGGGTGGCTGAGGACAATTCTATTGATACTTAGAAAAGGAGGAGGCTCTACCTGCTTGCCCAGAATACAGAATTACGTCTTGTAGCTTCATCGACAGGTGTCCCCCAGCATGTACTCAAACCAGTGTGCCACATGAACCTCATCACCAAGACCAACTCCTGAAAAGGCTTGTGTCACCTCTGACTAGATTTTTGGGGCTTTGTTTCAATCCTTCCCCTCATGCCTCAGGTTTTACATTCAGAGAAATTCAAAGACTAGATTTTTCATCATGATTTGGCATTTTCAGGTTTAGCAATGGAGTGTAGTGAATTGGTTTAACAAACACAAGCTGGCCAGACACTTCTGGCTGGGCACATCTTGTCTGCCATTCAGTGTGAGCATAAGAGCAGTAACTGTGATACAAGTGCTGGAGCAGAGGTCTGACACTGGACAAAACACTCTTTCCTCATTTACCTTAGTGCTCCACAATGTTTCTAACAAATCCCACTCCTCCTTGTTCTAAAGTGCACTAAAATAAAAAATAATTATTTCAGCCCCTCATGGGTACAAAAATATTTTGGTTTTTTCTGCCTTGTAACATCAATGGGAAAACTCTTCTCTCCCAAAATCTCCAAAAATAAAAGTCTAAATTCAGTACATTAATTCCACAGCCCATCAGCAGTGCATTTTAAACATATGGACTGAGCAGCTTGTCTGGTTCTGGATGGATCATTTTTCATTTATTTAGTAAGTCATTTGGCTTTTAGGGAGTCATTAGAGAAAATTATACAGCAATAAAAACATATTAATGATAAGTAGCAATAAGCCATCACTTTCCTTCCTCAAGTTGCTTTACAAATGTGAGCTAATTCTTTTTAAGGATAGAAGTTTAAGGTAAAATGGGATTTATTTGAAAGCTAACTTCACAACTAAAGTAATTGATAAAATTGATAAAATAAACCGTGCACTGAAAGTCACAGGGAGATTTGGCAGGGACTATTGGACTGAAACAAAGGAACCCTTCCTATTTCACTAGAAATCATATTTTCTGCCTCCTCTGAATGAGAAGCACTGAATTGCAGATGTCTTCAATCATGCAAGGAGGTCTTCTAACTCAAAATTTCTAATTTGGGACAGAAAATTAATTTCACCTTTCTGAGAACATCAGGCTAATAGTATATGATTAGCACTTGTTCTCCAGCAACCAATCCCTCCACAACACATGAAACCCCATGTTGTGGAGCTGCTCCTGTAGAAATAAACAGTGTGCACACCAGAAAAAATGCACTTGTAGGAAAAGAGTGCTTGAATGGCCACAAAACCATCCTGTGTTGGTAATCCAACCTGTCTGAATAGTCTGGATTAAAGTACAAACTAAAATAGACACCTGTGCACCAAAGACAAAACATAGGGATTACTAGTTCTGATATGTTCTTTTTATATTCACAGAAGTATAGATTATTAAAGACTATTTTCACACCAGTGTTAGGGCTGCAAATAATTTTTTGCAAGTGTTTTCCTACAAAAGATTTTCTCTTTTTAGTGCTCTTAGAGATACCCTAATACAGCATAACTATAGGAGAGTGGTATGGTTACAACTTGAATACAGACTGCAACAGAAGCACTTGGATGGTGATCTCTGCTAAAATAACAAAGAACTAGAATGGCCTTTCAAGCACTAGAAATTTCAGTCCTAACTTGACATTCAGCCCTGCATCAATCCACAGGTCTTTAAAGGGACACCAGTGACAGAGACCTTGTAGACACACACTGCATCTGTGTGGAAGACATCCCACTCTGGACACCACAGAAGGTTAAAGAAATAGTGTTTGCTTAACATTATGGTCCAAAATGTGTTCTCAGGCTCAGAAAACCCCTCAGCCACTCATAACTGGAAGCATATTAGAAAAAGACTCCTTTTCATTCATCCTTAAGCTTCTATTACTGCACATAGTTATGAAATGGATGCTGGACCACATGGTCTGAACATTTTTATGTCATGTTATAGAAAGAAAAAAATTATCCTGATTTCTCTGATGATCTCAGCTAACAAATAGCTAACAGCTACAAAACTGCCCTTTTTTGCCATGTCTTCAAGAGAAAGAAAAGAATTCTTAAACATCATGAATGGTGCGGATGGCATGGGTTGGGAACTCTTAATTACCATCCCTTCAAACACAACATCTATTAAGTATTAGGATAAAGATCTGATGTGTGACAGGTTTGAAACAAGCAAAAGTAGTTTTTCTCATAATATGCAGTTAAGTTCAGGAATTTCTTGCTAAAGGATGTTGTAAATGCTACAACTTTACATGAACTCAAGGTTCAGCAAGGCAAGATCACAGGTAAGATTATCATTGATTGTTAACTATCAAGACATGATTTCTGGAAATTCATGAGACAGAAATAGTTTTCTTGGTTACACTGCACATTCCAGACCCACTTCCCTGGTACCAATTTCTCTATATAATACTTCAACAATAAATCAGTGAAATGACTCTTGGGAAGAGTAAAAACCTAAAGCCTAAATGAGTTTCTATAGTCTGTATTTGCATTAGCAATCATGGGTAAGAGGGTAGCACAGGCTCTGTTAGTACTTAAGAGATTACACACAAGCATTTTCAGATAATTTCACTTTGAATTAGCTGCAGGTCTGGTCCTGTGAACTGAATTCCCCCCATTAACTGCAGAGTGAACTTCCAATTAAGTTTAATCTAAAAGGAATTCTGTTCATTTGTTACAAGACTGTCCGCCATGTGAACTATTGCAAGTGATGATAACATGGAAAATTGCTTTCAAACTGCACTTCTGATCTAAGGTTGAACAGTGGCAGACCCCTGTGTACTCAGTTTTTCAGGAAGTGTCAGCCATGGCACATAATGGCACACAGAATATAAAGCCACAAGGCTTTGCTAAGGATATGGAGTGCATTAATTCCTATCCACTTGCTTATGGTTTGAAGCATGAGATGGGTATATCCTGAAAACTTTCTTTATTTGAACTGTAATTAATGATCACTAAAATACTTAACCATCCCATTCCAGGCATGAGATAGGACTGTTATTCAACAATGAGATCTACCAGAATCCTTAAGTATTCTATGATTAATTTTGTTTATTGCTTTAAATATACTGTCATTCTGTTTCAATGATAGTTTCCTTTTTCTTGCAAGACAAGAGAATAATAAAGGTGGCTCTTACTTGGAAGTTTCTGAAATGTTGTAGTAGAGCACATGCATTTTGCTGTAATAGGAGACTGCTTGGCCAATACATATAACTGATTATTTTCATTATAATTTTCTCTAATTTTTTTTTTCCTGGCAAAGAACAACTCTACTACAACATACTTATGTTATTCTTAACTGAATATTTCTTATTCATGGGGAAAACAGATTTTCTCTGAAGTTTTCTATATTGTCTGTTTGATGGTTGGATTTGTAGACTTATATCAACCAAGGCTGTCCATGGGTGCATACCCAGCACAAGTTTGGATAGGATATCTGGTGAATTCTCTCATTGCAAAATCAACTTCAAATGCCTGTAGGGGAGATCCAGACCAAGAAGGCAGAGAAGGATGGCAAAGCCATAGCCCAAGAATGCTGTGTGCAAACTGCCTTGCTGCACCATTCCCAATGTACTTGCTATAAAAGGACATCACATTTTTATTGCATATCCTATTGTTAGCTGGCAATCTGCATGAGTATCCAGATACAAATCTCATTTTCCTCTGACTGAAGCGTTGTGCTGTGGAGATGAGGCATGGACTTTCTTACTATTTGTAAAGAGGAAGGCAAAAGTATAATATAGTGCTAAAGAAAGGAAATTGAATCCTTGTTAATTTAATTTTTAAATATCTCCCAATATATTTCAGGGGTTCATAATATTTCAGAAGAAAGACCTTCAGTAGTTAAAGTACTTCTTCCCCCTTTTTATAGTTTTTTAGAAATAAATTTTTACAATCTACGAAGTAGAAGAAACTTAAACAGATTTTTAGTGGCTGCTGGGGCAGAAAGAAAGCAACAGCCTTTCTTTTCCAGGAGCCTAAAAAATAGGCCATCACAATTCTGGCACAGAGGACAGCACTGCAAGAACATCATATTAGTACAGGGCTAGCCTAGCAATTAAAAATGCTCAAGGAGTCACAGCTTTCCTCCTCCTCACTTTCAGCAGTCAGTACACCACAACCTCCCAGGACAAATGATGTTCTCATTCCTGCAGATGCAGCTGCCTTTCTCTCCCCATGTGGGAATCAGAGCTGTAATGCTGAACATCTCAGGCTTGCATTAGCTATTACAAGAGGCCAAATGTTTGTGATAGAAAGAAATGCAGTGACTAGAAGGACCTAGTGGCTACCCTGAACTCCTGAGTGCCCTGTGTTGTGCTTGTGCTGTGCAGGAAATCTCACCTTTCCACACTGCTTACATTTACCCTCCTGCCTCCGCCGGTGCACCCAGTGGTGCCGCACAAAGTTCTGCAAACAAGGACAAAAATGATGGGTTAGAGGAGCATGGGCACCTTGCATCTATGTTAAATTTGTTCACAGACACCAAGGAAAAAGTCCCTTCAGCCAACAGAGTAATTCCTGGAGTGAAAATGTGCAGCAGGCACTGCAGGAAACCTCAAAAACCACCAAAACTGTAGGAGGAATAAGGAAAAGGTGGTGTTTTCTTTATCTCATTGAAATAAGTCCAGAACTACTTCCTAAATATTTAGGTTCTTTAATCTTTGATTTTATGTTTGAGATAGCTCTAGAGGGAAAAAAAAAGATTAAGAGACAAGAAGTGAAAGGAGAGGAAAATAGTTTTTCAAAAAACAAAAATACTAGCTCAAAGGCCAAGAAGAAAAAAATGCTACCAAAAAAAAGGGGAAAAGATAGAATAACTGAATGAGTGGGCAAAAGACAACAGAACAGTGAAATGGTTTCTGTCAGTGTAAGTAATAGAGTGCTTCAGTTAGAATTCATTTTACATTTATTCTGGAGAGGGAAACATACTCCATTGGGAACCAATTCTCTGTCTGAGACTCCTCTCAATCTCAAAGCACTTTTGCAGCTGCACACCAGAGGGACCAGCAGACATGTCAAATGAAAAGAAATTTGTCCATTACTTACTTCTCTTGGAGATCTGGAACCTCCTTCTCGGAAAGTTGGTTTGCAGCGAAAGTTAATCTGGCATTGAAATAAAACTGTTAGAACTTAAAGTGAGCTGAAAGAAAATTTATTCCAGTATCTTGATCTAGGCTAGACTTCCAAAGTATTTATTACCTATTAAAATATTAGCTTCACTGAGTGAAAAAAGATACTTACCTTGATGTCAGTAAAATCTCTTCTCATATGGCAGATTAATTCTCCTTGCTGGACCTCTACACAACTCCCATCTTCACACTAATGGTATTGCTGTCTACTCAGTTCAAATATTTCAACTGCTTCCTCCTTCTAGAAGGAAACTGCTTTATTTGTTTTGTTTTTCTGAAAATCATTTGTAAACAAGTGCAGACTTCAGCATAGGTCTCAAAAGCCAGTAGGTGCTGGAAATTTCACTCTGCAAGACTTTTTTGCACATCCTGTACTTATGTCTTCATAAATAAAATCTGTAGAGAAGTTGCAACTTACATAAAGAACCATGCAAATTCTCATACATGTGTACCTTTTCTTTAGAGAAGGATGTTTGCATCCACTTCCCCAGCCACAAATCATTTGGGGAACATTGATCGTATTGCCTCTTGCAGTGGTGTTGCCACTCCAAAGAGAACAACAGTAGATCTCATAAATGGAAAACATTTTGAGGAAGGTGAAGAGGAAAAAGTTATTTGATAAACAAGAAGGTAGTCCTATGAGGAAAAAGCTTTGAGAAAAGAAAAACAATAGAAATAAGAATAGAGGGATGTAGGCACTAAAAGAGGCACTGAAGAAGAGAGAGGCCTACACAAAGTCTAAAGGATATGTGAAGTAAGGATGCACTAAATTTAAAAAAAATCAAGTTTGATTTGACTATCCTTCAAAGAATTAAACATTTGAAGACAATGCACAGCTATGCATTTGTTACAAACATAGAATGACCAAACTTCTCCAAATTTACATACAACCTTCCCCAAATAAATAAGTTCTTCCCTCATTTAATAATTGCCTTCAAAATCATAGTTCTAGGGAGAAAAATAAAAATAATCATTTTTTAAAGGCACACACAAAAAAATGTAAGCAAAATACCTAGCACATATAAAGAAATGAAAGGCATTGTAATATTAGTCTTCCATTACTCTTCACCTGGAATTGCAATTTGTTGTTTCAATGCTCAGTCATGGCAGGCTGGAAAGACCCAGCTTATATTTATTTTCCTTAAAATTATCACCTTGGCAGAGAGAGTCAAGCAGAAGACTTATGTACTAGTTTTAAACTTTAAAGACTTTGTAACAGCCCTCTGCCAAGAGGGGGATTTCATGGTCTCCAAAAGAGCAGAGAGAAGCTGGGTTTTATCTAAGTGCTCATTTTCTCTGTCTGGCAATGCCACCAACTCACTAGGCTATGGAAAGTCAGCACTGCTGGTGATGAAGGAAATCATGAAAAATTCACTGGTAACATTTTGTGCTGAAAGCATGTGCTAATGTTAATTTCACTGTGGATAAAAGCATCGGGGGTGGAAATGGTACCTCTCCAACTTGGTATTATGGCAATCACTGTGGGATTTGTCAACATGAGTCCAAATACTTGGAAAGGAAAAAGCCCTTTCCTTATAGGGTTGCTGCTATAAATTTGTTATGCATCAGCTTGTTTTATGAAGAACAACATTGCTAAACATTTAAGAGTGAAAATGAAGCTCTAATGAAAGCAATAGGGAAATTCCCACACATTTTTTGCACAAATCCCACCAGGACTGAAAAGGGTGGGGAGGAGATTTCTCTAGCACATTTCCAGTTAAGCATAATGAAGACAAATCTCGGAGGGGAAGACTGAAGTCAGTGATAGATATTCTGTAGGTGCTTGGATGTGATCAAGGATCCTAGAAGGAAATGAGAAGCAGAACAGATGCTCACAGAAATAATGGTAGCATGACGGTAAGGTTTGATGTTTTCCATTTTACACACAAAAACTTGAATTCTGAATTTTTGAAGAGAAAACAATATAGTTTAGTAAATACAGGGGGGAAAGTTCACACTAGCATCTTATGCTGCACTGCTCATAATAAGTTTAGCTGTCATACAATGAATGATGCTGGCTTTAGCTGGGGAATTGTAAAAGGCCAATTTTTTACATGACAGCATACTCCATCTTCAAGCTTCCATTTTTAATTTAGAAGCAAAGGCAATTTATTTTTTAAACATTAAAATTGTGAAAGCATTCTCTAGTTTTTTCTTTGTTCGGTTTTGGGGTTTTTTATGGTTCACAGGGTTCAAAGAAATATCCTTTAAAAAAAAAATGTAATTTTAAGCCAAGTTTTGTTCACAAGTGCACTGTTAAAACATCTGTGAAAACTTTGGCACAGAGTGTTTTCCAGGCTGAAACCTCACTGAAAGAATTAAAAGCGTGTTGGCTACGTCAGGCTCCAGAAGATGGCAATGTCTCACCTTCTCTAGCTGCTCCATGCAGGCGTTGTGGACCACGATCTTGCAGGCAGCACACTTCCTCCTCAGAGCAGACTTCTGCAACAGCAAAGGGACAGAGTGTGTGTGGAGCTGAGCTAAGAGCAGGGGGAAAACAAAGGCAGCTGTAAAACAGGAGATGTTTCCCTCCCTATGCAATACACTTTAATTTTTTTCCCTCCCTCTCAGTTGTGGGGGAAAAAAATTAAGAAATAGATAGATAGATAAATAAATACATAAATAAATAAATAAGATCTGAAGCTCTTCTGGTTAAAATCTGAACTTTTGTGAAAAAAAAAAAAAAAAACAGCCACAGCACTCCAGCTTTCGAACTACAAGCGAATGCCTCCCTTTAGGTAGGAGATCAGGTTAACAGTGCAGAGCATCATTCTAAAAGTGGGCATCCTATGAGGATGATGAGCAAAGAGGAGAAAAATTGCATATGCAAACCAGAGAACTTGCATCAGTTTGCAAGAGGTCATTTCATGCTTATCATAAAATATTTAATTTGATGGGCCTGACCATTGCCTTGCAGAAAAATACTTCGGTACTTGGGTTATTTTAGCAGAGAACGATAAAATTCTCATAGAATGCTGTTAAATGCTCATGAAATGTTACAGCAGGGACAAAATTCTCAATTATGCTGGTTAGTTCTATTAATTTCAATAGGGCTTTTGAAATAATTTCCATTGAATCCCCTGGGCCAAAGCATATCAAAGGCAAGAGAATACATCCAGAAGAGTGAATGTATTTACTTACTTTACTTCCATAAACTCAATTTAATTAACCAGATGGAATTAATTTTCATGTAAATTTAACTTACAGACTTGTGCTTGAGGGACAGAAGATTTATAAATACACAGTAAGTTGAGATTTCTTTGCTTCAGATCTCTTACATTTAATTTATTCATGTCCATTTAAATCTCAAATAAATTATTTCTTTATAATTTTCAGCATATTTTAAATAAGTTGAATAAATAATAAAAAAGGGAGCACAGCTTCAGCTTACATTGTGGAATAATTATAATAATATTATTAACTGTCATAATTATCTGGATACACCCTAACTGTGCATGTTCACATGTATATGGTGTTCTGTTTCACCTGAAGAATCATGGCATTGTGTAGCAGACTAGGCTTTCACATGTTTCATGAATTGTTAAGTTCATAGTTTTTGTCTCTGTTTGCCAAGCTTGGTTTTTATCTCTGTAAAAACCATATACAACATATTATTAAATTTCCATGCTACTTTCAATGATGTAAATCATGAGGAAGAATTTGCTCAGTTTTAGGAAGGCAAAAATCTACTGAGAACACAAGAACCACCACACTGGGTCAGACCAAAGCCAAAGAAATGCTGTGTCCATTTTCTGCCAGAACTCAGTGTCTCAGGACCAGTGTAAGTGCACAGCACACACACAGTGACACTTCCCTTGATTATTACCACACAACCAGAAGTTGCTGGGACTTTGCTTCAGTACCCTGAAGGAGGCAAAAGCTCCTCAGGCTTGGCCTTAATGCTATATACCATAATGCACCCAATTTCCTTGAGAAGCTTTAGGAGAGGGATATTTAATTTGTGCTATGGAAAGCACAAAAGTGTACTATGGAAAGTATTTTGGATCACATTGCCCTGAAAACTGGGGATGATTAGTGAATCAAAATGTTTTTATTTTAATTAAATGCTCTGAAGGTGGGGGGGGGGCACTGGGCAGGGTGGTAGCAAAAGCAGAAAGGCAGTATCATGAGGAGTCACAGACGGTAACCACAAACATCCCAGAGAAGAGGAATTCCCTTTAACCTTTACAGTCCAAGGGCTAGGATACTCCCTTAGAGCATTGTTTCAGATCAAGGATATGAGCACAGGATCCCCACTCTTATCAAGCTTCCTAAATAACAAAGTGAAAGGGGTTTGGGTATTTTATTCTCTTTTCATGAAGCCATCTAGCTGAAACACTAGGCAAAAAGAGCTCCTGAAATAGCCTGAAAGTGCCACAGTCAACAGATACTCATGGATCTGAGATCGCTCCAATGAAATGCTTCCATAGACAGCAGAAAAGCTTCAACAGGAAAAAGCAAACCTTGAATATTCCCAAACAGGAGAAAGTAAACACTCAAATATGAGTGCACTTATTGCTGGTGAGTGCATTCTAGAGTTTGGAAAATTCAGTTCAAACCCTTGCAGTGATTAAAATTGCAGAAATTTGATGAGACCCTCCGCTCAGAGGCTGCAACAAGTGATATATTTGTGTATATTTTCATGTAAAATAGACTAGTGTCTTTTAATATTCCTGATACATCTCAGTATTCTACTCTTTTTTTCCCTTACCATGTTAGTGAAGCTGTTCATTACATGCATTCTCACTGTGTAAATAATCTGGGTCAATCAAAACTGGTTTGGGCTTTTTTTCCTGAAGCAATAAAGTCTTTACCAGAAGCCTTTTGCCCTTTTTGCTCTCCTTTTGGAACACAGGCAAACAATTCAAGCTCTCAAGCGACTGAGCACTGCATCAGTCTGAAGCCAGGCTTGTTACCTCAGAAAAAGAAAAAGAAATCCAAAAATAACTCACTGAGAATTTGACTTGGCAGCTCTCCTCCCCCAGGTAGCAGAGGTCCCCAGAAACATTTGTCTCTAGCCACAGATGCTCTCCATTCACAGCATTTTCCTGAGAAAAAGAAATAGTCATTAATCTATTTTGTTACATTCAGCTATGTGAGCATATAGGGAAAAAATTTGATGTTCCACAAATTTAGAAAACTAAAATAAACTAAGAAAAGAGGCCAAACAAAAACCCAACTACCACACCACCAGGTGTTGCTTGATTTTCTACAACACAAAGCCATAGCATAGAATAGCATTACCCTGGGCTGACCATCCCAGCTTAAAAGATGCTGACAATACAATGTGTCACCAATTTGAACACATTTCAGTTCAACTTTGCTGATGTTCTTCCCACATGCTGCATAGCTTAACTGGGAATTCAGATTTCATAAGCATGTAATGTGCACAGAATTTTAAAGAAACAGAGAGATGAAACAAAACCACAACAAATTAATTTTCAATGAGAGAAAAAAAATTGAGAATCAAGCACAGAAGCAAAAAACAATATGCTGACTGTATCTTTAGGATGATAGGACAAACTAGACTAGGGAAAATGCTTTTTTTTTTTAATAGCTGGGTCCACACTCCCTTTGTGAATACCTCAGCGAAGCATTACACTACCAAGAGAGACTAGACTTGAACTTTATACATGAAAGAACAACACATTAATCTAAAAATGCTCTCAAAAAAAGAATCTACCTGGCACACTGACAATTAGATCAACATCTAACATCATAGGCTAACATCTAACTTTGTCTTGACAGCCTCATTTGACCAAATTTGTACCTTGATTCTATGCAAATTCTTGTTCTAGACAGATTTGATTATTGATGGACTGTGGGTTTCACTTGCCTGTAATCCCAATGTGATTAAAAAGCCTGAAAGTCAACTGTACACTACTTAAGCAAAGTGAATAAATAGGAATTCTGTTCAGCCAGAATTAGAGCATGATAGAAAATGCTTTGACAGTCTGACATTTGCTTCCCACACTGCAGAAGTCAGAAATGATGATGCTCACCAAACAGATGGCGTCCGACAGCAGGATGCTCCGAAATAGCCATCTTGGAGAAAATAATTTATTTAAAATACCACTGTCAGTTTCAAAGTGATAAAATGAGATAGCTTCTCTTGATATGCTGATTTCTTAGGTAATGCAGAAAAGCATCAGTAGCAAAACCCTTTTCCTTCTGGAGTGCATCCACAACAGCCAGGACTAGGCAAGAGTGCACATGGTGCCTACCACAACCATGGTGTTCACTTCCAATAAAACTAGAGGACAAGACCAACACTGGTTGTTTTTTGGTGACAGGTTTAACTGTCTGCAGGTCTTTATCAGAAATGTTCTAATTCCCAGAGCACAATAGTTTGGTTAAGGATTTTCAACACTTTTATATTGCAAAATAATTTCTAAGGACTTGTACTAGCTTAAGAAAATTTTCAAGCCTTTCTTAAGGGGTACATTATTCAGATTGTAAACTCTGTCCCTCATGTGTGTCCTTATATTGCAGCTATTTTGTCTTCAGCAGCAGGTACAAGCTCACCAAAGAGTGCTTGACCTGAGCAGACTCTCTGCTGACAAAACAGTGCCAACTCAACATTATAACCCAGAGGTAAATCTCATAGGATATAAAAAATTCTTAGCAAAGACCAACTCTGAAAGCTAAATAGGAAAGCACACAGCTCTGGGACAGAATTTTTAACAAGGAATAAAAAAATTCTATTAAAAAATAGATTAACCGCCCCTTCATTTGGACCAGGTCCACATAACTTGCCATCAGGATTTCTAAAGATAAAGTGGCCTATTTCCATAACCTGGTTTAGACTGTTTGTTCTCTATTGTTCCAGATTATATCAGAGATTTACTTGTCTAACTTTACATCACCACGTAAATAAAATTAGTTAGTAGTCTACAAGGACAACCTTCAAGTTCATGTTATTATAGACTTCTAATACAACTAGGCAATAAAAATGTAAATAACCTGATCTGGTATGAGTGGCACACCTCCAGACACCTGCAGCCACAGAAAATTTCACAGCACTGCGTGTGAAAACTCTCAATCTCAATTCCAGCAAATGGACTTTTGGAAAATCTTTCATCCTGAATCAGAGCAAAAAGCTGAGACTGCCCAAGATGAAATGGCCTCCCTCAAAAATCTTTCCTTCTCAGTTAGTTTTTCTCAATAAGATCAAAGGGAATTATTTAACTTTACTGTTTTAAATTGTACAAGGCTCTGTAATTTGTATGAGATATTCTCTTGCCACTTATGAAAATCATGATATAGTCAAGGGAAGTTCTGTGACCTTTTGCAAGCCAACTTTTTATTCACTTCTGACAGAAAATTTTGAAAAAAATCAATACATTTTTATGAAGAATTTTGGCTTTAATAAGACAGTATTTTCTACTCTAAAATTTACAGGCAATATTCCACAACACGCTGGACAAAAGGGCACTCATCCTCACCTACCAACACAAAAGCTGACAGAGGTCCCTGGAACAAGCTCCTATCACCTTTAGGGTGATATCCTGTTTAACACAAAGCTTAAGCACAGTAAAGGTTCTATCACCTGTATATTTTGACACAGCCTTTTCTTTTTCCATAAAAAGTTCACCAGTTTGGTTTATTTTGTACTTGATATCTTTATGTTGGCTTTGGGATTTAATGGCTTTTAAAGAAGCAGCTGATCTCTTTCTGTCCCTGAAGACACAGACACCAGTCTCATTCTCTTGCCATTTTCCTCATGTTGACTCTGTGGCTGTAAAGCTACACATAAAATCAGTTCAGCTACTGGAAAATAAATAGATAGCTTATTGTGGCATTCACATTTTCTGGAAAAATCCATTTGCCCGGGATTTTTCTCCTGGGAAACTGAGAAGTCTCAGAGAAAAAGGAAAAAAGTAACTATCTGATTTGCTTCTCCTGTGTTTTGCTCCTTTGAAATGTGTTTGGAAATTGTTTCATTGGTTTCTGCTATGAGCTGTTTTCACTCATTGCCCAGTTGGGACCCAGCTGTGTCAGGGCTCTGGAGAGAGTCACAAGTTTTCATTATTATCTTTTAGCATTCAGTAAGTTTCCTTTCTGTATTTTTTAGCATATTATAGTTTAGTATTCTTTAATATAATATAGTATCATAAAATAATAAATTAGCCTTCTGAGAACATGGAGTCAGATCCATCATTCCTTCCTACCACAAGGAACCCAGCAAATACGGTATCTTATTTACCAAATCAGCTAGACAAAATGACTCACCCTGGGACCACATAACTTTGGATTGGACACAAAGAGTGGTGGGTTAAAGATGGCTTCAGTGGGACTGATGCTTTTGGTGCCATCTCAGCCGACCCGTCACATCACATTTTTGGGCTGGCAGGTTTTGCTCTGACTTGCTACGTGGAAAATGGATACTGTCCATCATTGTGGATAAAACAGCAATGACTGTGGCCTAATAAAAACTGTTAACTCTCTCTCCTCTCCAGCTTCCCAGCCTTCACAAGTGTCCTGGGAAGAAAAAGAGCCCCTGCTCAGTGAAGTGGAGGCAGGAGTGCTTTCCTGGCAACCTGGCTCACAGGGGACACACCATCTTAATACCTCTCCATCTCGGAGGTGGAGACCTCCCATTTGATTGCGCCTGATCCATTACCACCTCAAGAGCAAACAAAAATAATTTCAGTATAGCAAACATTCCTTGCATACAAAACAAATACCACACACAATCCCCCCTGAAGTGGAAGAGAAACAAGAATTCAAGGATCAGGAGTTTGGGAGCCATGTAATTGCATACATGTGTTCATGACTTGTGCACATTTCACTGATTGAACTGGATTTCTTCAAGCTCTCCAGCATAGTAAATGACAGAGCAAGAGTTACTATTTTACTCACACCCACCACTATCTCCACACCTCACTGTTCTTCAGACTGCAGTCAGCATGGTGTCAAAAGCAATGAAGATAAACCTGGCTGCTTTAATTTGCTACATATCAAGCAGCTGTACTTATTCAGCCAAACAAATAAACCAGTCAGCCCAATCTTCTAGTTCAAAAGGGCTGTAACTCCAATTGTAACAGGAGGAATGAAACTCTCCTCCACTCCTGCTATGACTGACATTCTGCAAAAAATTATTTGAGAAAAATCTCTAAAATAAATCCGTAAGAAAAATTCCCCTTTGTTAACACTCCAGCAAGAGAGAAGAATATCCTTGCAAATATGCATTTGGATGATACTTATGATTACTGTAAAATCAGTGGTCATCAATCCAAACTTAATTAAATATATCCGTAAGCAAAAATTATTAATTTTGGCCCTTTTCTTTATGAAATTACTATTGAGTAGGAAAAAATTTGTTTGGATGTCTCTTTCCCAAAGATCTTACTGTTACACCCTTAACTCTGAAATTTCAGAGTTTGCAATACTTGTGTTGCAAACAAGAACAGCGCCTCAATTATTTTTCTGTTGATATATAGTCTCAATTTTAACTCTATATAAGCACATTTTAATTTAGGAATGTTTTCATGTAGAGGTCACCTATTCCTTAATTATTGCAAGTGGACATAGAGCAAAATAAAACAGCATAGGGATATGTTTCTCCTTTCCCCCACCATACTTTCCAATAGCCCTGCATCAATTTCCTTTTGAGATCCCCCTAAGCTCCAGCTAAGAGATCACCTGCATACAGAAGGAAAATGACAACATTTATTTTTATGGAACAGCAATGTTCAGATGCTATCAACAGAGATGATGATTTCCTATGTCCTCATGAACAACTACTTTGCTGATAACAGTAGCACTGCAGCACCAAGAAAAAAAATACATGTTTTCTAGATGGGCACCTTCTGCAAAATGACTGCAGCCTCTACACGACTGGAAAAATACAAAGATATGGCCACCATCCTGAAATATGACAGACCTTTTTCTCTTTAGAGCTCTCTGGAAAGAACATCAGATCTCAAACCTTCATGAAAAAGAAGCAGCAAAGTAGAACTACTGATCCAGAACACAGCACGTCAAGTGTCAACTGCACACAAAAATTCAGCAATTTTTAAATATGCATGGGGCTTCCATTTATCACTGCCTAATTTGAACTAGAATTCCTATCACCTCTTCATCTTTTTATGTGACTAATGGAATACCCTGGGATTCTTCTTTTGTCATGAGAGCATATAAACAGCTCTTCAACTGAATGCTTAATTCCCAATTACAAAACTTAGCTTTGAAGACCCTCTAATGGAAGAGAAGTCCATCCTTCAGTGAAAAACTTACTAGAGCTCTTAGGAAGTTATGATAGAGAAGCCAAACCATTAATGGGAAAAAGAAATAAATTTATCTAAAATGAGGGAAATGTTTCATCATATGTAAAACATGTGCTACTGTATTAACACATACACTAATTCTCCAAGCTTTAGTACATCATTAACATCATTAGGCACTTCCAAACACTTACTGTCCATGAAAGTAAGCAGACAGAACTATTGACCAGTGCTAAAAGGCATAGAATATAATGCAACAGACTCCTTTAAAAGGCACATTAGGTAATTTTAAATACCTCACTGATATAGGTCACTTCAAGTCTATTTGTCTAGCCCATACCTCAATCAGTTTATCTACAAGGATGTTATAGAAGATGGTGTCAAAATCCTTGCAAAACTCAGCACAATGGTCTCCCCTCATCAACCAAGCCAATCATTTAATCTGTTAGGCTGGTCAAGCACAATCTCCCCTCCATAAATCAATGCTGAACACTCTCGGTCACTTCTTATTCTTAATATTTTTGGAAATTACTTCCAGAAGGATTTGCTCCATAACCTTCACAGAAATCAAAGTAAGACTGATTATGCTGACATTCCCTGGATACTCCTAATCCCTCTTGAAGGCAGAAAGGACATTTGTTCATTGCAGTCCTCAGGAACATTCTCTGACCATCATGACCATTCAAAGACACCAGACTGTCCTAGCAGTGATATCAGCCAGCTCCCTCAGCACCTATATGTGCAACCCATCAGGTCCCACAGATTTCTGTGTGTTCAAAGTATTCCCTAACCTGATCGCCCTCCACAAAAGTAGATTTTCCTCCTTTCAGACCCTGCTATCAGTGACCTGGGACTGCTGAAGGCAGCTCTTACCAGCAAAAACAGAGGTGAAAATAAAAAAGGGACTGAGCAATTCAGGTTTTCCATGCCCTTGGTCACCATGTTCTCTGCCCTATTCAGTGGCAGCCTAACATTTTGCCTGCTCTTCCTATCACTGTTGATTTGCCTACAGAAACCATTCCTGTTACCTTTCATGTTCCTCTAAGATTCTACACTAGATGAGATCTGGCTTTCCTTACTCCATCCATGAGGAATCAGGTAGTGCCTTGTACAATCCTCCTGACCTAAGCCTTCTTCCACATATTGCCAAATGCCATTTTTTCAACTTCTACTATGACACACAGTATTCTGTTCTTGTTAAGACCTAAAAGATTTCTGGCTTTGTCTTTTATACACATGATTTATAGTATACATTGTAATATTTCTCCTCTGGAAACATTCAACTCGTACCTAGAGGACTCCAATTGTGCATTCATAGAGCATAAAGCATAGATCAGTCAAGATTTTTCATTGACCTCCAATAATGAAAACTGAATACTTTCAAATGCCTCTTAAGAAGTGGGGGAAAGATTCTGAGTCTTACTGTCATGGGAGAAGGAAAGAAATGAGCATTAACAGAAAAAATCCACTATGTAAAAAAGGAAGATTTGGGGATGTTCAACACTCCACTATTCTAGTGGCTGTCAATAGTTCTGTAGGCCCTATGGAAAGCAAGAGCTAGAAGGCAGTAGTTAAAAGAAAATTACAGGAAGACTTTGTGTACAAGCTTATGGTTATAATCCTTGGTAGAAAAGGGCAACAGAAAAATACACAAAGACCTGGATCCTCAAAGGTACACAGGCAGTGTATTGGGTGGCTCAGTGTGTACTCACTTGAGAATCTGGGCTAGAATTACCTGCTTTATTATTTAACACTTGGGAGTGATGTCTGAAATGAAGGTGTGTGGGAGAAAGGGATAGGCATAAACATATCCCAGGGGCAGCCATTTAGGTCAATTCCTTTTTGGTAAGACATTCCCAGGCACTCCCTTCTGATTATAACACCTACTCCACACACTGTATTCTGTATGGCCCTGGTGTGAAAAGAGAACCTTAAATTATACAGCAAAGCTACAAGTTAACTTGAATTAAGTGTAAGAAATGTGATGAAACTGGACATTTTAAAGTATTTTAGGGAAAAGAAACCTCAGGGAACAGAGACAGTAGGAACAACAATAGTAAAGCATTCTGGGGAGTTTAGTGCAACAAGTCTTAGGGGACATAAGAATCATGACCTCTCTTTTACACCTAGAGAGGCTGATGTACTGAGAGGAAAAACAAATCCTCTGAGCTCGCTCATGAGGTAAGGGACAGAGCAGAGAATGGAATCCCACTCTTTGACTCAGTGCCCTGTTCACAGGTCCAGCTGGTAATGGCAAATCACCTGAAAGCAGTTCTCAAAAATGGAGACAATGGCCAGGGAATTCTTTCCAGTTATTACTGTGAAGACTGTAGTAGAAAATAATTCCTCCCTTTTAAGTCAAGAGACAATTTATGCTCATGTCACTGAGACTTTGGAAAGATCACCCATCATGTGTCCTTGGAGAATCATCCACAGAAATACTGAAAAGAAGGATGATGTATATGAGGATACAACACACACTATCAATGCTGCCTTCCAGTGATTAAATACAAAAATTTCTTGTCTGCTCTGACACATCAACTGAAATATCTTTTCACTCTACCAAATATACCTCTGGACTTAATTTAAAACTTAGGGCTTTTTCTTTGTTGAAATTCACTACATATTCAAAACCTTTGGTCCACTTCAACCTCCCCACATGTCCCAACCTTACTTCCATCACACCTCAGATTTGAGAAATACCTTTTTCCCTTTTACCAGTTACTACGGGTGGTTAGTTCAGTCTCCTGCCAACCACAGATGACTCTCACTCACTATCATGTCCCTCTCCCCACATGACACAGTTTCCTCCCTTCTCCAATCAAAGTGTGAAGTAAAGCAGCAATAACAGTCTGAGAGGCTGCAAACAGCTAAGAAATTGAACTGACCAAAAATCTAAACCATAACAGTAAACTACAATTAAACCACACACAATTAAAACCCAAAATATTTAATCAATGTTTACCAACTTATACCAGCTCCTGATGTATTTATGTATAGGGATCACATGAGGTAAAGGAGTAACCATCATGGGATCATGGATCACCTTGGTAAAGGAGTTGCAGACAATTGGCTGAGGAAGGGAGAGCTGTGGTTGTTGGACTTGGGGTTCAGGGAGGTTTTTTGGCAGGGATTGTTTTTTCTAAGTACAGTTTTCAAAGGTGTTTAATTTAGCTGATGTGCTTAACCCTTCACTTATGTGAGTGATCTTTCAGATTTCTACTGAACAGCAGTGATGATTCAAACAGGCATTTTTACTGCCTTGCTGAATCAGCACCTGGCTTTGCTGGAATGAAGGAACAAGGTATTCTCCAAAGCACTTCCAAGAGGATTCTATGCAAGCTTTCAAACTGCAGACCCTCATAGTGAATATAATCCAGCTTCCTGCAACTCAGCCTGCAAAATTTCATCCCTTTAAACTCTGAGTGCAATTCCTGCAGTTCAAGAACAGCAGGCAATCTAGAAATCAATTCTGTTTTGATTTGGAGAACAAAGATAAACATAACTTCTGTTCTGATGAATATGGCTTATCTTCAACTAAAAGCTGCTTGGCTGGCTGGTGCCTTGATAATGCAATGTATCAACCTCTTTACCAACAGCCAAGTGTAAAATCTTCTGTATGTTTTGCTTTAATTGAGACATTTGTGCAACCTGCTGGCTTATGCTCATCTTTTTAGCTCTTACCAGTGCGTAACCACATGGAAGGTGTGTGGGGATGGGTCAGGGGAGGTACAGACTTGCACTAGCAAACACAGAGAGTGTGGCCAAACCCTGGAACAGTCTTCCTTGAGAGGTTGTTGATGCCCCATGCTTGCCAATCTTTGAAAGAGATTGGGACAATGCCTTTAACAACCTGCTTTAACTTTTGGCCAGCCCTAGAGTGGTTCAGCCCAGAAACACAAGAGGGGTGGAAACATTGTCTCCATGTCTACACACTAGCTTGGTCCCAGAAGAAATGTAATAAAAAAAATAAAAAAAAAAATACCTACAAAGAGCTGTAACCAAAGATTCCAATTACCTACTCTGCAGATGCAGAAAAACTGATGTGTGTCTTCAGCCTTAAATTTTGGCCCATCAAACAGAGGCACAAAACCCTGCTGTGCTAAAATTAGATCAGCTTTTGTCAAGAAGGAGGTGGGAAAATGTAACCAGTCTCCAAGCTGGAAAATCTGTCCTTTTTTTCCTCAAGTCCCCACAAGTTTTCCTGTCTTGGCCTCATGCATCGGCTCATAATAGATGCATATTCCTAATAACTAGTACTAATTCTGATAGCAGAAAGACATCTTACGTTGATTTAAGGATGGAGAGAGCAACAACTAGAGATACAGCTCAAATCAACTGCCAAAAAACCAAACACCTACAGTCCACTCTAAGGCCGCTCTTGGTTCCTTCACAGGTCCATTGGTGACTGGAATGTTGAGGGTATGCACAGGAGCCAAGTGCTGGAGGCCTGACCTGGAGATTGCTTTCCTGCAAATTGAAAAGAAAAAGACAAATAAATTGAGTGTATATATAACAAATATATCTCTCCAACATAACCACCCAACATCCTCCCCAGCCTTCTCCAGAAATGAGAAGAGGCAGCAACGCATTTCATTTCAGCTTCAGTGAAATGGTGCTTGAATGCCATCTCCTGTTAAAGCAGTTTAGGAAAAGAATAAAGCAACCTGATCACTGGAAATTACTGTTTAATGGAGATCAGTTACTCAGCTGGCACTAAGCTGAAATATCAAATCCAGTGGACTATCTGCGGTTACGTTTGCCAGTGTTAGTGGAGTCCTCATGCGTTTCACCTATTCCTTACACACCAACTAAATCTGTCAAATCAATTTATGCATAATTCCAAATACCATTCATAGGAGACACAAAATATGAGTTTATACAAAGAATCAAACCCTTTATTGCTTTTACTCAGCTTATAGGCTGGAAGAAGTCATCCATTCACATCCAACTATGGAAAACAAGACATGGAGACACCACCAGAAAGTTATAAACTACAACCTTCTTTGATCATATCACAATCCCTCAAGGAATTACAGCTTCTTCCCACTTATATTTCTATTTCAGTCATATCTTTCTAGTCCAAAGTAATTTTTACAGCTCTTGAGGCATAGATGTAACCTTCCTCAGAAAGGATAGGTGGTGGCCAGAAACACTTTTGAAGCTGGCTCCACAGTACTAAGGTGACATGCTGCCTGCCTGTCTCCCTTCAGACACCCAGCCCTGACAGAGCTGCCTCCACCAGTGAGCCTTCATCAGGTGGAAGCACAGAATGCCGCCAATACAAAGCTCAGCTGCACCTGAACAGTCTATTTCCTACAGCTCCCCAACACTATAGCATTGTATGAATTAGAACCTGATGGCAGTGGCCAAAATAATCTCACAGCTTCAGCTGCAGTGATTCAGAAGAGGACAAATATCATCTCAGAGAGATATCTCCCTTTGTAAGCCGAACACACACATCCCCCACAAAGTGAAATGACAGGCTGTTTGTGTAAAGTGCATTTTTGTGATACCGCTCCCACAGCGCTGCAGCTATTTATAGCATCTCCTAATCTTACCACTGTCCCAAGGCAATAAAGGTCAATTGAGCCAGTGGAGACAATCCAGGTCAGCCATATGCTAAATAAATCTTTTCACTGTCCTGAAAATATACAGTGCAATATATATCTGCAGTAAAGGAGCTTGGAAGCCTTGCTGCTCACAGTGCATGGCTGGAAAAATCTAGGAAACCAAAGCAGAATCTCTTAAACCCCTTCTCTTGTGAGCTGCATGAACAACTCAACATTAAGATCAGTCTCTGATCATCCAATATCCTCTTTCTACTTAATGTGGGCAACACTTTGACATGAAGGGGTTTTTTTTTCCAAAATATTTTGCATTGGATAAAAAAAGGGGAAGAAGCCCAAGAAAAATACTTTTACCATCTGACAATATATCAGGAGGGAACAATTTAGCAAGAAAGATTTTATGGCAAATATATAAGCACAACATAAGCTACAAACCTCAATAACTGGATTAAAGCCTTAGAGAAATAAGCTACAAGAAAGTAAAAAAATGTTTTTCAAATATATTTTTCAAGAAAACTTCCCAATATTTGTCAGTTTCTTTTGATGCTGTTTTCAGTATCAATGTAGTTATTCAGGCTTCCTAAACACAGGAGAGCATTCTTGTGTCTATTTGTGGTTCATAACATCTTCGTTTATTTGGGTGGAAACAGGGCAGTATCACTTTTTCCACTCTGCATCACTGACAGGGGTAAAGCAAACCCACTTAGGCCTGTCCTCACAACAGAGGAAGGTAAATATGTGTAATGAGTGCTTGCAGACATCTCAGCACCAAGCCTCAGATACTATTTCAAGTCAGAATTAGAGATGTGCGAGCCTCCCACAGGAGAACCTGAGACTTGGCCCACATTTCTTCAAGAGGAAGTCGAGGCTGATGAGCCTTTTTGGGGGAGACCTGGCACAGTTTTGTGCCAACAGCCTGCCCTTCCTCTGCATGCCAAGTTGGATTTATGGTTTGTCTGGAAAGTACACATACACAAAACACAGGCATGACAATAACACCTTTTTTTTTCCTGTTATGTTTTAGCATAAAAGCCTTAAAATTATCTCAGAGACTGCACACTTGCATGAGCCAGCTAGAAGTGACCCTTAAGCCCAGGAATAAGCTAAAAAATGTCTACTTTTGCACTTTTTGTCGGAATTTTCTCTTGGAGCGAAGAGAGACAAAGTGTCAAAGTACACTGTATGCACTGCAGAAGCCTTTCCATGAAAAAAGGAGAGCAAGCTAAAGAGCAAACACATGGCCTTCTAATAAATGTAGACAGACAAGAGACAGGAAAAAGGGGGGAAAGGGAAGGTAGCATGAATCTGATAGCAGAGCAGATGCTGAGTATCCAGGTGAACATATCTCATATTACTCAGACAAATTACACCTCCTGGCACTTTTCCAAAGCCAAGGTAACACGATTGGCTTTTAGTTATCTTTCCCAGAAATTTCATCTCCACTGTGCTGAGTGCATGAATGAAAACACAGGCTTGACAGTCAGCCTTTCCCATAGAAGCAATCACTGTTCCCTGATAAGAGACAGGCAGAAAAAGTGAATCTGTGTTCTCATCATATACTCCATTCTTCAGACTATGAAGGGCACAACCAGGCTAAAATGGGCACAACCAGCCCAGTTGCTGATGTAGTAACCAACAGCTAGGAAATATTTAATCATAAATAATGAGTTGTATTTTGATAACTATTTTTTAACAACCACTAATCAGTTATTTGTAATAGATCTTATTATTGACTTAGCTAACACAACACCATTGAGAGCAGGCATGGGTACACATAAATGCTTATGTCACTAAATACACAACTAACAAAAATATCGGATACTAATTCCATAGTTGATACCACTGAGGAAATTCTTTAACTGTCTTGAAAACCAGAAGCAATCAGACATTCAAGTACACTGACTTTTTTTTTTTTTTTTTAAAAAGCATTAAATTTACATTTTGCTGGAAAGTCAGGCGAGACTCAACCTACTTATTAGATCAAAGGATACATATTTGATCAGGGGAGATTTCAGCATATATCCCAGCCTTTGGCTTTATTGAGCATTTTCCTCCACTGAAGGCATATAAATATCCTCCAATGAGTTCCTTAGGCTGAACAGTTTTACCTGAACCTTCAAAGAGCACAATTAGTCAATAGTATGCAACTTATTTATTTAAGTACAACTTACTTAAGTGCTACGAAAAAATCTATTTGGAATAGAAAGAGTAAGTTACTGTTGCATGTGGTTAATAGCTTTGACTGTCAATTTAGTTGTCATTGGTGTGGGATTTGCTGCCTTTCCAAGGCTGGAGCTATCATCCTTCTTTGTACATGAGCATTACCATTGGGGTAGCCTCTCAGCTGCAATGTTGAAAGAATATAACAATGCAGAGAGACTGGTTCCCACAGATCGTATGGCTAGGACACCTGCCAGGAAAGATGTTTTTACCTAGATATTTGGAGAGAGAGGCAATAATTTGTATAATGATGTTTAAGTTACAATAGCCCTGAATTTCTTTGAATATTCCATGTGGGTAAACTGTACACCTGCCAGCCTTCAGCTTTGCCAACTATAGCTTTAAAAGCCCTGTACAAGGCCAGACAGCACCTGTATGCTGTATGAACAAATTATATGTTCCTGTGTTTATTTGGAGGTGGCTTTCACTCCTGAAATTGGTGCTTATAAATGTTATAAATAAAATGTACTGGCTAATCTGTGGCATTATTTAAGTTTTCCCCATGCATCTCTGCTGACTGCACCAGCATCCTTGAAACCCATTGTTCCCAGCTTGCCTTCTGGGCATGTATTTTCCTCCTTTTTAGCTGACTATTGGGCAGTGATTATTTCACTGCAACATTGATTCCCAGATTTTTTGCTTTTGCTGTGAAAGGAGCCAACTTCAGCCAAATTAAATAATCTGTCTGGTGCACCAACCCATTCCTGACAGTAGCCAGTAGCAGGTGTTTAGAGAAGCACTGGCACAAATTGGGTGATCCTCCCCCTGATATACTCCAGTCACAGTTTCCAGTAATCAGTAGTTTAAGGACTTCCTGAGCTGGAGGCTGCTTCCAGACCTTTGCACTTAATAGCCTGTAATGGCTTTTTACTCTAGGAATGTGTTGGTCCTTCCCTGAATCCATTTATAGTCTTGGTCTCTACAGCAGGCTATGTAATAAGCTCCACAATTTAATTATGGGCAATGTAAAGTACTTCCTTCTGTCTGTTTTTAAAATCCTGTCTGATAATTCAATTTCTGTATCCTATTGTAAGTAACAGCAAGTAATCACTTGCCTCTCTACACCTTCTGTGATTTTATGAATCTGTTGATATACCCCTTAAATCACCACAACCCCAAGTGGAAGCACCCTAGACTACTTAGACTTCTGCTGATCCTGAATCTGTTCTATCTTTATCAATCTGTAGCTCAGTTATGGGAGTTTTTGATGTACAATTGCCAGAACTAGAAAAAAATTTCAACATCTGGCTGCACCCAAGTGGTGGAGTCATCACACTTTCTGCATTGTTCTCTTTAATTATCCAAAGATCTCTTTCCTGAGTGTTAATTGATACTATGAAGTCCAAACTTGATTGAATTTTAATCCTGCACATGCATTATTTTGCCTTCACCAATCTCACATTTTGACTGCAATCTGCCTCAGAGTCATTCAGCATCATGAGAGCCTTCTGAAAATTTCTACAATCAGCCCATGCCCACTCTAATTGTGAAAACCAATCTTTACTCCCTTTAATTTTGCTTCCAGTGAGCAGCACTGCTCCCATCACAGGTTGCCAGTGGTCCTCACCAGTAAACACTTAGGTAAACCCTGAACACCACCTTATTGCTTGATACACTTAAACAGCTGTTTATATGAGGACACCATGCCTTCCACCCCTGGCTCTGTACCAAAAGCTGTTT